CGCTCCGGTATTGTGTGCCATTTGTGCTGGATCCAAAATCAGCAACAATTCGCCGCTCGAGTGTGTGTGTGTGTGCGGCGCATGCAATCGTGCATGGTGTGCAACATCGGCGGCTTAGACGCGCATCTTGAATGACGTTAATGCGACTAAGCGGGAATCTTAACGCGACACACGACCGACCCGCACACTTACCCACACACTATATGCATATGCAAATTGCTATCCATAATAGGCACTCGCTTGTCTAGTCGTTGAGAACATGATGCGAATCGATTCAATCGCACTCCTGTGACACGGGGCGTATACGCAATGCTTCTTAATTGCGGGGCGTTTTGTGTTAAAAGAGTCGATAAGTAGAATCAAGCGAATGAAAATGTTCGTAGTTGGTATAAAAACATTTTAAACTTTATAGAAACCAATTTTGTAAAGCGTTATTCTTTTTTAAATTAATAACGCAGAGTAACGAAATCAATTACTTCCAAGTAAGCCAGATTTTTTTCATTCTCCGAAATCTGCTTCCTCTTTTTGGCCATATCTATGGTTTCTGTCGACATCAGCAAGAAATGATTGCGAAAGCGAGATAGCACACATAAAGCTGCGTCCATTTATCCTTAATTATGTACATGAAATCGGATTCAATTCAGCCGAAACGGAGGGGACCTCGACTTCCATAAAAACGTGCACATCGGCGATATTTCAAATGAAAGTGTTCTCGCCGCCAGGGCAACAAGTCAATAAAATCCGTTAAAAATTAATGCAACAAGAGAACGCGAGTGATTCGATTCGCATGAAAAGTTTCCAGGCTGATTGGCACTTAATTTACCATTCAGTAGGTGGCTCTTGATTTTCACCGGCCTTTCTGCCGATCGACCGTTCGTTGTTTTGTTAAATGCAAATGCGTTGACTTTTTGCGGCCCTGTGCGTGTTAATTAACTGCCCGGATAGGTATGCTAATGCAAATAAAAATGCAATTGACGCCAACTGCCGCGATTATGGCTGCCTAACGGTTGAGTTACGCTCGCACGTGCTCTTTCCACGTGCAAATGCGAATGTGAATGCGAGTGCGAGTGCGAGTGCAGGTGTTCGCCTGAGTGCACTCAAACACTTTTGCTGCTTGGTCGATTTCAATAACGCAGCGTTACATCGATGCTGCATCTCGCTGATGGGGGAATGGTGGGGAATACTTTACCCTTGGAGCTCCAACCACTTGGCCCCAGTTCGCCATGGTCAGATAGACAATTGATGCTCTGCGCTTGGCTTAACGTGGATGTTTAACCCTGCCAGTTGGCCAAACTTCCATCTCCTTGGGGTGGCCTGCTTGCACAGAGAAAAATAGAGTTATAAAAATAACCAACAAATTCAACTTAAATTAACAAGCCATATAAAACCAATTGCTAGCTTATCATTCACTTTAGTTTCGTATTGACACTCCGCTTTTTGTTGATATTCAAAATACGAGTATCACTTGTACATGCCACCCATATGAGTAAGTCATATTTTTCCCCTGTGTGTGCAAATGTCGATTTCGAAAGTGCCTGGCAAAACGAATGTGAATGTGTGTCGATAAGTGCACACAATCCATTCGGTATTCAAATTACTTTAAATCGCATTTGTCTCGCGTGTGCTGAGGTGCTCGCTCTGCTCCTGGCACGTCCTTCCTGCCGAGTTGCAGTTAAACTCGAGCATGGCTGCCAAATCAAATTTAGTAAAAGTCACTAGCACACGAGTGCCTGAGTAAACACAGATACACATGTGCACCGCAACTGCACCAGTTGCAGCTACTCTGTCACAGACAGTCCGACCAGTTTGGTTTTCAATTAAATTTATGGCTGGTCAACGCCGGGGGAGAAGCGAGCGGGTTTCGGATAGTTTGAGGGGGGTCAGAAGCCCCACTTTAATGGCCGAAAGCTAAGGGCTAAAAGCGAAAAGCGAGCCGAGCAACGGCAAAGTTCATTTCGGCGTGAAAGGACGAAAATCGATTAGATCCAAATCTTTTAATAAGTTTCATTTCCGCTTTGTGCTGCCTTTCGGTTGGGCGCTGTCTGCGACTGAGTATGGCCTTGGGGTGTGGGTGGGGCCACCCCCTCCCCATTTTCCCTTGGCTTCGCAGGCACTCCCATTTGCATTGCGGCTTGTGGGGACTAGAAACTGTCTAAGAGCCCCCTTGCTGCTCGACAACCCCCTTTTATTACGTATATTAGGGTGCGATTTGGAAATTGCGGTTCAATTGAGTTTCGGGACTTGTCGATTGCCGGCAGTCAAGTGGTTGGCCAGCAAATTAGGCCAAACCGAACGGCATAATACCCACTAAAATCCACACCCCCAGCGGACCGCGATTTATGATTGACTTCCCGGCCAATCTGTATCCATTGTCAGCGATAATTTGATAGCGATTGTGATCTCCTTTTTCAACTCACTCGTTAATGTTTAACGAGAGTAGTTCATGTGTTTTCGAATTAAGGCATTATCGAACCAGCTCCCAGGGAAGGCTAATTGTTACGAGACTGATTGTCATGTAGGCAATCAGGTAGCAAGTGGTGGGGCATAGAAATGGAAATCGCCTTCACCAGCTATTTGCTCGCCCCAAAACAAAAGGGATAATAATAGGCACAGCAGGCTTCTGTTCTTGCCAGGATACCTGACCAGCAGTGGGGCAGCCAAAAGCTCATACCCTTCATACATATTGTTTATACACAGGAAAAGCATTTATGTTGTGGGCAGTGAAGTGTTTCAGGTGTCCGGATTTTACAGTTTAAAGTGCTGATATAGGTATAATATTGTATTCCTCTTACAAGCAAGCTTGTTGCTAATATAATTTAAAACTAACTAAGATTCGGGGTTCATTTCTTCAACAAAATAAATACGAATTACGATTTCTACCTAATTTCTTTTTGTGTATATTGTTACCGATGTCTGCACCTTCCAAACACCGGCATCGAAGCTCAGCTGAGGCTTTTGGCCACGTTCATTTTGGGCACCATCGTCGTGTCTTTTCCTTCAGCCGGATTAATTGGTTGCGATGTGACACACACATAGGCAGCCCCACGCACACGCTGCCAGCTGCAGGACTTCACGTATGCCGCGTCATCAAATCATTCACGCGGCTCGAATGTGAGAAACACTATTTCTACTTCGACCGCAAGTTGCCGCTTTATGAGCACTTCCAGTTTTATGGGAGTTTTTCATTACTTTTCCGCCTGACGGAATGAATGATGTGGCAGGCTGCCGATTTCTGGTCTCCGTTTCGCTTTCTTTTCATTTCGATTCGGTTTCCATTTAGCTCTTTTTTTGCACTGCCACAGGCAACGGGAAGGCTTTCGCCACATTAACGACATAAGCAGCGAGTGACAGCCAGGACACGCGAACGGCTTCGCACGGTTGTCCTTTGTCGGCTTCACGGTGGCTTAAACGCCACTCTTTGAATGGATTTTTCGCCCTCGGGGCGCTTTAAAGGCCCACCCACGCGGCCCACTAATTACATGTTTAGATGTCCCCAAAGTCGGACTGGGAATATGTCAAAGAGCAATTAAAAATAATCGATATGCAACACCGCCGGGCGGTGCGGCAACCTCAACCCTCGACAATTAAATTTAGAGGCAAAAACCCCTGCGAGCGCCCCAAAACGATAACAATTTTTCACAAAGGATTAGAGCTGTCGGCAACACGTCGGCACTTGGCAATTTTTGCAGCTTTCGATTGTAGTTGTTGTCGTCGCCGGCAAATTACATTTCCCCATGGCCAATACTGTTCTGCTTTTGCTGCTGCTGCTGCTGTTTCTGCTGCTGTTGGTCTAAACCGCAGCGCCAACTGTTTGTTTAATTAAATTGCAAAAGCAAGCAGAAACGAGAATTCTCCTGTATTTCCCTTCTACGCTTTGGCAAGTTATGGCCGTCGAGCTGAGCTGACCGTCCTGCAGCAGTCATTTGTATTAATTGAATAAGAATTACGCTTTAATCCGATATAGACAATATAGACGTTGCCCGCTCGACCGGGCCAAATTGCAGACATTTTGTCGGCACTTCATTTTATATCCCGTACATTTTATTTCAACGAGCTTTCCGCTCCTTTTTGTGTGCTTCTATATCGCGTTTCTTCGAAATTACGCCACCGCATACATAGCTAATGCCAGACCTGCGGCAATTGTTATTGAATCCGTCTAAATAAACAGAGGAGGCAACCCGACGAGGATGTGGGCCTCCTTTTGTGAAAGGCGAGCTGTGCGAATGGGAGCCTTGAGAATAGGAAATTTCTCGGCTATAAATAGAGGGGCATTTAAAATTCAAGTCTGGACCCCTGTACTTTACCTTAGCTATTTCACCTGCTAGACGAACCCCTAATTAGCCTTAACGACAGCGCATATTTTATATTTTATCAATGCCTGACCCTGGGGGCCATTAGCATGGGAAACTGTAAATTGTTTTCAATACTCGAAATTATTATTATATTATTAAATTATTCATGAGGTCGGGGGCCGGTTGCCATCTGCCCGGGGGTACTTAAAATATGAAATATGACAGAAGCATGCGAGATAGGAATCAGAGTCCTTGTCGTTCTCGCAGCAAAGGAGGGCAAGGAAAAAGTAAGGCACATGACAGGATCCCTCTGGCCGACGGCAAAAGAGCTCAGCGGGGGCGAGGGGGGCTCTTGAGTGGCCAGGAAGTGGCTTGGGGGAAACCAGCTGGTTCCTGCCCCTTGCAGCATATTGTACTCACAAGATAATCGCCTTTAAAGTTTCCCGTTAAAGCTGCCACTGCTCGTGGTTAAAAGTCTGTCAATGGCATTTCAGTTTATTTTTCTTTCGCAATTTCACATCGCGAAAAGGCGGAACCTCAGTGCATCGTGACTGCGATTAACTCCGCTCGTTAAGAAGAGATTTTTGACATCATGAACTGGGTTTAATTTTGGTTTAACCTTCAGCTTTATAGAATGTACGGGTTGAATTTCTATTTAGTATTGATCTTTGTATTTCTAGATATATAAAATAGTGGCTTAAATAAGAACCTAATAAATCTATTTACTACGCAGCAAGGCAGCTGGCAAATACTTTGTGAGCGGAGTGACCGCCTGCACCTGATTTTGTGTCTCGTTTTGATCCCGACCATCGATGGCAGCTGGCGCTGAGCTGAAGTCCAGGACGGGTGCCACGCCCTCGTCGGAGCTGCGAGAGCTGCCGCCCAAGGAGTCGAACTGCTGCTGGATGAGCTGCTGGGCACGCACCGCATCCTCGGGTGTGCGGTATTTGACAAAGTGCACTTCGGGCTTGTGGTTCTGGGCCTGGTTCTCGCTGGCCAAACGCTGGGCCAGTTGGCCAACATCCGCCTGCTTGCTGAGCACATAAATAGCCGTCCGCTGTTCACTGGCCTGTTTGGCCAACTGAAGGGCGGCGTTGGTGAGGCCCTGGTGCTCCGGCGACTTGATGAACAGGACGCGCAGGTTGCGCTTCAGCATGCTGGCAATGTGTTCGGTGGCCTCGCGGTCCGCAAACTCTTCCTCCGGGGCGGCATATGTGTAGAACTCCTTGCTGAACTCATCAGCGGCGGCAGGAATCTGCTGCTGCGAGTCCTGCTGCACCAGTTGTTGCTGCTGCTGCTGCTGCTGCTGCGGGTGAGTGGCACTGAATCCTGTGGCCTCGGCATCGATGAGTCCTGCAAAGCGACGATCGCCGGCAGCAGCCTGGTAGTTGTAGCCCAACTTGGCCGCCGAAACGGAGGCAATGAAGCAAAGTAACTAGTAATTGAGAAAATTTGATTAATTCAATGTTAGTTAAAATCTATATCGATCAAGCTTAAGTTTAGATACTTTCTCTTTTAATGTAAATATGTTTGATTACAAATTTAATAAAATTCAATTTCCACTTATAAATACTCCACTACTTACCAGATATCCACGCATCTTTGCCTTAAGTGTTTGATGTCTTGTGCTGAGGATCTGTTTACCACTCTTTAAGCCCGCTAACTGACGTTTAGCGTTTGCATTCCGATGGTATTTATACCAGCTCGCAAAATGGGAAATCGGAAAGATGACAAATGATGGGCTTGCAATATGCGAGCGTTTTTTGACTTGGCTTGGCTATCGGGATCGGGATTGCTTCGGTTTCCGTTTCATCTGCGGTGCTGCAACGCTCGAGCTTCGCACATTGGCAACAGTTAATCAAAGATAAATGAGCTTTTAAGCGTTGACACAAAGCCCCGTCTCAGGTTGCGGGACTTTGGGTACGGCACACAACCTGTTTTTTGGCAATGCAACCTTAGGGCGTAGCTTGTCTTACATAAATCTGCGGAACTACTCGTGTTTGGGCGGGCGAACTTCAAAGCGACTGTCTGCCACAACATATGTGCAAAATGTGAATAATTAATTAATTAGCCGAGCGATTGCCAATTGCATTTTTTGCGGCAGGTTATGAGCCCGGTTCGAAGCTCGCTCTCAACCTCATCATCGAGTCCATCAATACGGTCAGTCATCGCTTGGGTATCGACAGCTACAGTGGCTGCATAGTGAAGTGTTTGTGGACCTGGCCAAAAGCACAATACTGCCGTATTCCCCGAACTGGCCAAGGAACGTCCGTCTGTAATCTTCACACATTGCCTCTGTTTACCCAGATTCCTGGTTCTGGCCAACAACAAATGCCTTCAATTAGGTATAAATGGTGCTCGGGCAAGACACAGACATTGCATAAACAATATTTAACAATAAACAGATACACAGACACACTCACACACACACACATACATGCGAGTCTTCTCACTTCCTGCTGCTGAACTGTTTTGTGGACCAGTTAATTGTTCTGATTGTTGCACATAAATCTCAAAAGTGCTTCGTGTAAGTGTGTGTGTGAGTGTGTCTGTGCGAAGCCGACGATGTGCTCTAATTGATAAGGCTGTCTGAGCAACGTCCTAGCAACCAATTGAATTCATCATAAACTAGTTAAGATACACGCAGGAAAAAGGGTAAAATAGGAGTTGGAAGAACAAAATATTAAATCAAATAAAAATTATCATTAAATATAATATTTTATAATCGAATCGAACTTTGATCTTGAGAATTGTTTGTTCGCTTACTTTTTGATTATAACTACCACTTTTGTGTATGATCATTTCTCAGTGCAAGGCATTGTGCGGCCCAGATTTATAGGCCTAAATCACCAGAACATTCCATCAAACAGGCTGGTTCGCCGACGACCGATGCCAGCAGCAACAGGCTTCTCGGCAAGGCCCAAACAATACCCATTTATGCGCATAATGAGGAGTCATACATCAGGGATGACTACATCTGCCGACGGCTGCTCATCATCCTGAGCCGTGGAAGTGGACGTGAACGAGGACGTGCCAGCTCCGAACGGCCAGTGGCCGGCATTTACATTTATAAATATGCATAATTTGTTAAAGGCCAAATGAAATCCTGAAGCGGCCCCGAGGGCGATTCGAGCAAAACGCTCTTCTAATTTAATCATTTTGCCCATTGGCACCGACGAGTTCATTTAATTTGTTGCCATGTCGGAGTTGGGGGTTGCAAAAGGTGCCACAGGACGAAAGTTTTCCAAGAAGGAGATGGGTGGCCAAAACCTATCAGCCTATTGACAGTGACACCCGCAAAAAGCTGCGTGTCCGTAAGTAAATAAACTGTCCTGGGGCGAGAGAAGGTATCAATTTGGCAGCGTTGCCGGGATTCCTGTTGTCCGTAGTTCGTTGTTCTGGCGATGGGGTCCTTGTTTACTGTTTATCTTTGCACAGAAGACAAACGAAACTAAGGCCAAACAATGACAGTAACAATTTGGCAACGTCAAAAGTCCTAGGATGATAAGATTTATTTATAGGACCAATCGCAGTGATTGGCTGTTCGGCTGAGGAAAGAAGAAAGAAAGGAAAGAGATGGAAGCTATTGCTTTTGTTAATTAAAATTTTTTAGGGCACGTGTGCCACGGAAACTGGGCAATAAATCATGACATCAACAGCAACAGCAGGGCGGCAAAACCACCCAATCCCCAGGGGCGGCAACAACAATTACCGTCAGATAATCAGGGCCATTAGGTGGGGCGCCAAAAACACAAATCATGACAGCATTAAAAGGAACAGATCGGCCTGCAGCTGAGTGGTCAAAGGTCAGCAGACCGTTATTACACACAATTAGGGGCTACCCATTACAGAACTATCGAGACGGGGCGGCCAATTAAAGAGCAATTACCAAATATTAGCTAATGGCCGGCAATTGACATTTGTGTCTTGCCCAGACCGAGTCGCTCTTCGAGTCTACGAGTCTACGAGTTTCGCATGGCGCAAGCCGGTGAGCCGGCCCGCAGAGGCAAGAAAGAAAACAGAGCACCCGGGGCATTAATATTAATGAACTGCTCACACACGCGACCCCGGGCAGTTCATTAAAGTGTCAAACACTTTGGCCCGCAGACATGTCCGAGTTGGGTCTCCCAAGAGCGAAGAGCGCTCGCCGCAAAAAAAAAAAGAAAGAAAGTGACCAAGAGCAGCAGAAGCGGCAGAAGCGACGACGACAACTGCCAAAACCTGTTGCTCCCGTGGAAGCTGTTGTTGGCTAGAAAGAAGACGACGCCCAACTGACCCAAAAGCGGGCAAGCTGTCACTATTAATGTGTCATAAATCAAAAACTTGTTACCATGTAAAGTCGTAACATTTTGCATATTGACGGGGCATGTAACCGAGTAGCTTCCAGTTACATTTTTTGCCACAATCGCCCTTGGTCATCGCAACCATCGATGGGCACATGATATCGCCTGCTAATTATGATTGATGGTTCCACGGGGGGCCCTGCATTTACAGGGTCCAAGTTCAAATGAAGGGGATTTCGGAGTCCCCGTTCACGAACAGAATTGCAATACTCAGATGCCAAGTGATATGCGGATATTTGACGGGTCAAACAAATGGACTCGAAAATCGTTCACCCCGGATACTTACTTTAAAAAGTAAACTTAGGGGAACAACAAGGTCCTGCCTTTTCTTGTGGCCACGTTTCTACGCGGCCTGTCTTGGACGCTAAAAACAATTAGTATGACAATTTATCATATGCCCGCAGCGAGATGATTTATGAAGGCCTAAAAACAACACGTAGCCGACACGTTGCGTTGCGTATACGCCGTGGAGTCGCTCGCTGTGTATGTTGGTGTATGTGTGTGTGTGTGTATTTGTTTCTGGGGGTGCGTCACATGTTTGCCCATTTCCTTCCTTCCTGCGGCCTGCTTGTTGCCTTTGTGCTATGCAATTTCTAGTTAATAAATATTTCCGGCTACAAACAAACGGAGCAACAAAAAGCTGGCAGGACACGCCCGCCAAGGACTCGACTTCTAGGCGGATATCGCGCAATTAGTTGAGTCAACAATTAAAACTGTTGCCTTTTTCCACACGAGAGTGCAAATTTAGCATGGCCATTATTAGAATATGAGATATGTGAGAAAACTATAAATCACCCGCAATTAAATAGATGCGAAGGGAGATAGCTCCGAAATATTTCCCAAATATTGCGTCATATTCAATATTTTTTTCATAGAGCGAACCCCTGCAGGACGATAATCCCTTAACCCCACATCCTGCAGCTATCACATGCTCATTCTGGCATATTAATTGGCTTTCATTAATTATATTTTGAAAGCGTGTCCTGGACATGGCTAAAATAGTGTTCCGTAATTAATTGATGTTCATAATATTAAGGAAACGTATATAAAGTGGGGTCATTTAATTTCCCAGCAAAGTCCAATGGGAAAACAACTGAAATGTATCCTTCGGAAAAGCTCCTCGGGAAAGCTAACAAACAAGTTCCGAAAAGCTTGTTGATAACTTTTTGTAGAGTTTCCTATTCACAATTTTAAAAGCATGGAAAAGCTTTAAAGCTCATTTTCTACACTCAAAAAATTGTCATTTAAATAAAACCGCATCGAAATTCCAACAATAATAAAAAAGTTTTTTAAAGAGAATAGTTTGGTTTATTATTTTACATAAGGAAAATATGCAGTCTAATATTACCATATCAAAACTGCTCCCCAAAAGTGAAACTCTTTAAATCCGTTTTTTCTTAACTTTTATTTACAAAATTAAATTCTCTTTCTGTTTAATTACATTGAAATGACAAAACCGCACCAAAAGATTAAAGCATATTGATCTCTATGGGTAATCATGAAATAAATCGGTGTGCGATGCGTTGAGCATCAAGCATTACACATCTTTATATATTTTTGAGTGGTATGGTGCATCTATTGTGTACTACTGCTTTGTATCTACAACATCAAAGAATAACTTAACGTCCACATAAGATACTCTTTGCATTTTATTTTCGGTATATATATATACGTCATATACATTAATGCATATATAGTTGAATATTCGGTGTATGTATATAATGGTTATGCCACAATTTTTGCCAACACCTCTTCATGTGGTTTTGATTAATAATTACACATGTATGTACTCCATATATGGTTCTGTATATATATATAATTATATTCATTCCTCTTGCACATTATCGGTAAACTTTAACAATGCGCTTTATCTCAGTTATAAGACTAGGTAAAACAATCTGTATCTGTATCTGACGTTACGTGCTAAACTCTCTGCTCACCAATTAAGGCTCTGCACTTGTACTTTAACATTTGTTTATGTTTTTACATAACACTCGCTCCGTTTTACGTTACAATCGCTTGTTAATGTTACTATGTTGTGGTTTTTGGCCCCCGAAAGAAACTGAAAGGAAAACTATGTATGTAAATGCATCTCACACGTACGAGTGTCAAAATAAAAGCAGAATTCGGCTTGCAACCAAAGTGAAGCAGCGACAAACTTGTTCCGCATTAATGGGATTAACATTTTATGTTTTTGCTAAGTTTCCTTTAAGTACATATGCATGTAGGTATATTCGTGTATATATAGTATGGAAAACAAAGGACGTAGATTTAAAATACGTGTAAATACTTTGTTTAGTTTGTATTTTATACTAGATAGATTTAAGAGTCTAACGGCATAGGACGCAGTTAAATGTAGGGTAAGTTTACATATAGATATTACACATTTACATAGGTTTTCCTGGTTTCATAATCGTTTTTGTTTCTTTTTTCTAGTTTTGGTTTATTTCACTACTTCCTGCCTTCTTGCCTTGCTACGCATTCAAATACCTGCTATACCTGTTTTCATTGTTGTTAGTTTGTGGTTTATACTGATATTCACTACAGAGTTGGCTAGGACACTCAACGGATCATGATGCTTAGTGCAGGATTTTTGATTCCTCTTCTACTTTGGTAAATGTGCGCTTTTCAATTTTCAGAAACAGTTAAAACAGCGAAGAAAATGATTGCGAATGAGGCACCCTGGGCGCTAACTCACGAAATAAGAAAACTAATTACACAAAAAAAAAAAGAGCTAACAACACTGTTTGCTTAAATGAACTTTTAGTTCGACAGATCCAAGTTGGCAAATATTTGAAATTACAAAAAGAAAAAACGCAATGAAATCAACGGTTTAATCTCAATCAATCCTATTCCAAAATAAAACACAGCCAGCACTTTTATTGAACCTCACACTATACTCGTTGATAAAACGCCAAGCTGTCTAATGGACGTCGCTACGCGGATGTTTATCTGGACCTGACCTCTGACCCGTCCTGCGACCCGCCCTACTTCATCTTCTTGTCCTCGTGCGCCTTCTTCACAATGGCCAGCTTGGAGTGCGGCGAAGAGGGGTGCAGTGTGCGGTAGGGCGCCTCCTTGGTGCCATGAAGGACCAAGGACCATTCCAGCAGACTGCCGTGCCGGGTTTGCGGCGAGTTGAAGCGTGCCTGTAGATGGGCTCGATAAGATAAGCAGACCAAATATACTGCTTTTGATACTACCTCTAGTTTCCAGGTGCCCTGCGGATACTCTCCCCACGAGTGGGTGGTCATGAAGGGCCATTTGGTGAAGCCATCGCGGTGGTCATCATCGTTTGCGCGTCTCGAAAGGATCATCGATCTGCAGTGAAAAATTGAACTTTTAAATGCAATTCTGAACATCATCGAAAACTTGGAAAATTTTGACATGAACAGGAGTCAAAATTTCCACCATCTCCAAAATTAAAAAGTTTAACACAAATCGTTTTGTAATGCGATCGCAAATCTTTAGAGGTATGCCACTTTGGAATGGACTAATAATTTTCCACGTTTTGTCTAATTTTATTATCTAAACTAACTAATTCATTTATTAGTTACTCACTTCGTGCCCATGGGCGATGTAAGGAAAAGCTCAAGATCCCCTCGACGTGAGGCATTCGCGGAGATCACCGCCTGGACGTGCTCCAAGTAGTTGACCTCCGTGTCAGTGCCCTTGCAGGCATCGGTTTTGATTTCCCAGAAGAGCGAACGACCCATGACAATGGCCCTGTTATAGACAAATAAAGTTAAGCTAAGTTAGGCCAGGAAGTATTCCGGAATTCACTCACTGTGGCTGGGTAAGCTCGCCGGCCTCGCAGTGATACCGAGGTGGCACCGCATGCCACTGCTTGGATAGGGTAACCATGGCCCCCGCATCCAAAACGCCGAATCCAAAGAGGTGGTTGAACTCCAGGCCCACGCCGTTCATTGTCCAGTGGAAGCGGTTCTTGGCGTCGAACAACGAGTTGCGCTTCGATGTCAGCACCGTCAGATGCTGGATGTCGCGCCAAGTCAGCTGCGGACTGCCAAAGTTGTGGGGGTTGAAGTGGGATTAGCATAAATTCATAAAGTGACACAATGGATACACTCGAAAAATTACCATGGTTATTAAGGGTGCTGTTTTAGCCAAATATAATATTAGTATTTGATAGCATTCTAAAAAGTCTCTGAATTGTGAAGTATATTAAAATTAAATTAATAGCTTCATAATTATTTCAGCAAGTTTTTTATATCTTTCTTAACTTTCTGATTCAACTTTCACTTAGAGCTTTATCAAAAGTAACTAGTATTTTCTTGAAACCAGCTGATTTCAACCCTCTTTTTCGGGCATGAAAACTTTCGAGTATATCGATCTCAGGGGGAAGTGGGCGGGGAGTACTTACTTGGCCTCCAAGGCCAGGGCGAAGACGCCCGCTGCTTCGGGAGCCGCCGCACTGGTGCCCGAATGGGTGGTGGTGCACTTGCCGTAGAGGTCCGTGGTGGCAACGCCCGTGTTGGGGTCCTTGGCTCCGTTGCTGAATGTGGACGCCAGCGTGGAGCTGCAGCTCTCGTCGTAGTGGGCGTTCTGGCCGTCGTTAATGGCGCTGTTAATGGAAATGGTCCACATGGAGGCGGCGTAGCCGTCGCAGTTGCAGTCGTCCTCCTCGCCGCCGTCGCCGGATGCCCAAACGTAGATGTTGCCCAGGCCATTTCGACCCTGCGGGTGGTGCGAGAGATTAGCCATTAATTCCGGGATCTGGACCCTCAGTCCCTCAGTCCCTTCGACCTCACCTCATTGACTCCCTGGACTATCGCCCTCATGGTGGCGTTGCGGGGTCCGTCGACCGTCTTGCCGTCGTCCGTGGGACCCCAGGAGGCGCTGTAGATGTGGATTTTGTGCGGCTCGTGGCCCATGGAGTTGGCCTCGATTAGGTCCGTCATGTAGGGCTGATCCAGCATGCGGATGCCTGTGGAGCGGGCGATAAGTATGCATTAAATCTAATGGCGGAAATTATAAATCAATATTTTTACGATCCCCGCCACCAACCGTCACTTTCACTCGCCGCTTTATGGCAATCGTAAAAATTGCACTGCATTTCCCGGCTCAGTCTGTGGTGGCTCGAAAATTTTCCGATTTTTCACATGATTTCTCCCTGGCGGGCGATAAAAATGACAGATAACACGGCCGGATTTGTGACCACACTTGTTGCCTCCCCATTCCCGAGGGAATGGCGAAAATTCCCCAGCTTAGGTCACATTGCTTTTTCTCGAAGCTAAAATTACAATGACGGGATGCGCCCCATGAACTTTCCATTTTATAACGCGCATAGCAGTAGCTGTCAATTGAATCGCGACGCTTTCGCGGATTACGCTGCGTATGCATAATGCGATTTATCAGCCGAAAACTTTCGGGGTCACGACCCCGAAGACTCCGCTACATACGGGTGTCTATATTTACGCGACGGATTCTGCGAAAGCCACTTACCTGCGATTTTGCTGTCATAAGCAACGCCAACGCCGCAAATTCCATTATCTCTGGCAGCAGCCACTTCGCCGGCGCAACGAGTTCCGTGGCTGGAAAATAAAGCAGCGGGGTAAATCATTTGCAGAGGTTTCTGCAGGTAAGCGGCTTAATAAAAAGTCTCTCTATCCATTAAGCAGTGCGTATTATAAGCTCACACAAAGTGGGAAAAACTAGAGAAATGTTAATCTGAGCTCTCGACAAAAACAAGTATGCATCTCACTAATAGTAATGTTTACTCTTAGCATGAACACTTGTCTGAAAATTCTATTCCAATCACTTGACGTCAACCAATCAGCTTTAAAATTCCTACTGGCTATCAAGGACATTCCCCACATACGTTGACCAATCAATGGCTTTTCCATTTTCCCTTTCTATACCCTATAACCACTTACCTGTTGAACCAGTCGTCGGTGTACCGGGGATACGGAAAGGGATCGTTGCTGCTGAAGTCATAACTGGCCTCGGCGTTCTGGAATTGAGTAGATGAAACCAGATAAAATATGGGGACACGTGTGCGTAGCGGAGTGTGGGTTAAGTACGTTTTGTTGTAGCTTTTGGGGAAATTATTCAGTTTATTCCGTTACATTTATATTTGGCTTGTACTCAGCGCAGACCTTTCACTACAGCTGGTTAAATATGCACGGCAGATAAGCACTTTGACAATAATGATGGGGGAAAGTTTTAATGTCGGGAAAAGTTTAAGCTTTTAGCTTCAATTTCCCGCAAACTTTTTATTCACATTAGGGGTTTCAACAGTCGTCTGTTATGGAGCTCTTATGGGTCCAAATTACGTCGTATGTATAGGACCTCAGTCCACAATTGTTGGCCATGAATATGTTCAAATTTGCGACGGATATGTGCCGTAAGCCAAAATTTAATTAAAAGCTTTCAACTCGAAATGACATTAAAGCTGCGTGGGTCGTACTCACATAATTGAATTTTAGGTCCGGATGCATGTAGTCCACTCCTGGGCGGCAAATGCAATAAAACGGAGAGTTAATAAATTGGATTTTGGATTTCCATTCCAAAAATACCCACCATCGTCCATAATTGCCGTGGTAACGTTCTTTCCAGTGATTCCCTGAGCCCAGGCGGCCTGCACATTGAGATCGAGCCGCACCTTGCCTCCGTTTTGTCCGGTGTTCTTGAGGTACCACTGCATGGGGAAGTACGGATCGGTGGGCTCCTCCTCGATCCGGTTGGCCTCGCCCGCCTTCAAGTCGAACTTCATGCCGTGGATGGCGGGAACCGCCGGTCGCAGACCTCGCTTAACCCTCTTGAATCCCGGCTGTTGAACGGCCGTGTGCACCTGTGGCATAAATTCCCATTAGTGTTAAGGTCGCAGATGAAACCACAAAGGGGTTAAACCGCAGCCCATCTGTCACAGAGCCCAAACCCATTGTAAGTCCCTGTCATGCGGGTCATTGTGATGTGTGTATGTCAATCTAAGCTGTGCAAACAGCTGTGAACAGAAACGGAACGACCTAGTTTGCATGCCAATTTCCATATTGTCCTGCAGGCGAGCACTATGTTTGCCCTCTGCATTCTGCATTCTGCTCGGTGATTATCGACAATGGCCTAATAGCACGTTCCGCTCCGGTGGACAAATGGACGCACGTCTAATCGCAATGCAATCGATGTCCATTGTGCAGAACGGCAAATAATGTCCGGTGCAAACTATTTTGGGAGCTCGGAATGAACTTTGACATTTCATATTTGTTGTTCAGTGGAGTGAAAGCAATATGGACGCTATTGCCAAGCATCTGCTCTAGCATGAATGTTATTATAGAATAGAATTTTGAGATTCAAAGAACATCTAGGAGGATATTAAAAATACCAACATTAGGCAAAAACGTTTCCGTAATTTAAGCTTTCCAATAAATTTGAAAAGGAGTCAGTTAAAAGTTATTTCCTGTCTTATGCATTCCATTGCCTTTCACACGTTTCTACATTTTTTCCGCTTGAACTAACAATAAGTGTGCCGAGTGGCCAGCTGTGCGCAGTTTCCCTTTCGGCCTTGGGGGGGTTTTTCTGCATTGCCACAAACTTACCGCCGGGTGGCTCTTGAGGGCCCGTGTGTGCGTCAGACTCCTCCTGGATCGGGCGTGGGGCAGGGTCCGGTGCTTGAAATGATACTCGTGTTCATCGGCGCCGACCAGCTGTAAAGAGTCGAGAATGCAAGGCAACATTTCATTAGACCCAGCGGCATTTTAATTGAGCAAAACACATTAATTCTGCGCTTGTTTTTCGCCTAGAAGCGTGACCCGTAATTGCGCTCTAATTGAGTTTGGCCCCAGCTATTCCTCACACATTCCTGCCGGGGTGTTTGCTGTGTGTGCCCATAATTGTGCCCTAAATTGCTAGTCATAATCATCATCTGCAGAAACAGCAAAAGCAGCAGCAACAGCAACTTCAACATCATCATTAATTGGCTTTGGTAAATTGAGTGCCAGTCTTGGCCGGGCCAAGACTGAGTCAGTAATTTTCCGTTTTTCCCCACTGCAATTTCTGTGGAAGGCATCTCGAGTTTCTACACGATGATACGTGCCGGGCCTTCGGGTCGAAGCCACTTTCACTCGGCCAATGGCAGGAGGCCCATGGGAACGCTCCTCTATTTTTGGTCTACAGGCAGCCAAAAAATTCCTTAGATCTCGAAATTAAATGTGAAAAGCGTGCCAGAAAAGCCTTATTATTCTTGTAACAAATAAATTTTAAAAGTATTTCTGTCGTGCAAAATAAAAGAAAAAATAATTTAATACAAGTTTGTATTATTCATTGTAGGCATTCTATGAATCAATTAGAGTTTGTTTCCCTCTGTGTAGTTACTTTGATCTGCCTGCAACATGTTGCTCATCTCCCTTCTAATGGAGACTCAAATGGCGCTCGGACAGCTGTTGGGCATCGGTTAACTTTGCCCTTTCGACGGCGTCTGGGATCCTGCATAATTCAGGCTAACATCGTGATTAATTAGCAGCTGTGCGGCGTTGAGTAGCTATGCTATCAATTCATAATTCGCGCAAATGCGGCCCAATAAAAAGGCATTAATGGGCATGCCGATGACAATACCCATCAATTTGCCAGCCACAAGAACCGGACTAAGAATCTATTTTTAAAAACGTCGCTTACTTAACCAGTTAGCCGCGAATGATGAGGATGGTGGCTTGAAGGGCTTCTTGGCGAGAGTAATTGCCTAAACCTCGCCATCGACTTACTAAACAAAGGTTCTGCAAGCTGTCGGAGTTCCATCAACGTGAGCTTATGCAAAACCCGCCCACAAGGCCTTTTTAAGGATTCACGCCCGTTTCGCAGCAGCATTAAATATTAATAAGGACATTTGAGCACGCAAATTGAAGCATGAGAATGCTCTTACTCCTTTTTCCTTTTCCACATTCATGGCTTTTCTGACCGCTGTCTGCAAATTTTCAATTCGCCCTCAACTCTTTGGCCGCCAAGGAATGAGGGCACGCGGTTAAACTTCCAGGAATGGAGGAAATTTCTTTGATCAGCCAAAAGTGCGTAATTTCGGAGAATGCGTTAAAAGTGCTTAATAAATTGTAAGTAAACTCAATAAGCGAAAGAAGCAGCGCACACAGTAAACATGGTTTCCTACGTAGAAGCTATGTGCCTATTATTATTGAAAAGTAATGTAAACTTAATGGTGTAATATTAAAGTTCAATTTCACAAAACATTAGGTCAAATGAACTCTTTATTTTGAAACTCAAGTCTCTAATCTCTATGCCTGATTTCCCTGTGCACAGCCGACATTAGAGCTGCCGAAATTTCGCAGAAGAAATGCGGTATTCATTTACAGACTTTGTGTCACAAATTGATAAATTCCTGGCCAGCCACGTCAGCGACTGCCACCAGCAGTCAATAAAAGGCTCCACCCCGCCATTTCGCCAATGGAAATGGAACTCTTTCCGGCAGGAGGGGTGGAAAATGAGACACCCCTAGTTTACTTAGGCGCCAAGTGCCGCGCATAAGTAAGCAGGGAAACAAGAGCGGACAAAACGCGGCGCTCGAGGGCCATCAATCCGTTGACTGCTGTCAATCACAGTTCTTCGACAGTTTGACAATGCGCGAAGCGGAGGGGTTTTTGGCTATTTTTATGCCCTGTTAATTTGTGTGTAAATTACTCAATGGGTACTGCAACAGCTGGCCTGCTGGTAGTTTGGCCCAGCCAGTTTAATGGACTTCCCAAGTATGTTGCCAACAAAACTGGGAAGGAAAAAAAAACAGACGAACGCGAAAATATAGATAACGATAGCGTTGCGTATACGCACTGTGGGCGCTGTTGAGCTTTCAGTACATCCAGATAAACAATGGGAATTAACTAATCTGGACGGCCACATGCCGCTAAATTGCTTGCATATTTTTAGATGTCGCCGCATAATTTGCGGATTTCTCTTCATGAACGCAACATATGGAGCTTGGCATCCCGCATCTCTGCTCCACAGACAAGTAAAAGTAAAAGTAAAAACAAAAACCTCCGGCAGGGGATTTATGTGGGAGGAGCTGAACACAAATATTAAGAGCAACAAAGCACGTCGTCTAATGTAGCAATATAGCTGCCATTGTGTCTGTCCAGGACCGTATGTGTGTATGTGTGTATGAGTGTGTGTTGTGTGTGTGGCTCGCCATTATAAATATAATGTGTCACAATGGGTGATAACGGGACTGGGAGTCAGTATGGCTAAAATAAAGTAAGGACATCGCACACACACACACACAGATACATACGCAACGAGGCAAGAGGCAGCTGTTCACCTCCTGTTTTGTTTCAGTGTGTGAGTTATTTAAGCTTAACACCACCCACACGCTTTTTTGCAAAACTTTGCAAGCAATTGCTCGCTCTTCGGGCTGCCAAAATGGTGTCTATAATTAGTTGGCTGCCGCATTTAAATAGCAAATTTATTAACGAGAAGCCCTTGACATCCTCGCCACTTGTTGCTCGCCAGCCCTCGCAGTTTTCCCGGCCAAAAGGACAACAGCTGGGTAGTTACATCACTGGGGGATGGGTTTTTTCGTGGGCGTTCACCGCAGGATCATGGCCATCCTGGTACATCTCGCCGAAGACTTGACGCGTCATCTCTCTTGGCACGTCAACATCAGCGATTTATGGATTTCCACTCGCCCCGCGCGAATTCACGAAAGGTGAATGAAAAACTCGCTGGAAAAGCTAAAATATCAGCAGCTGCGCTGTATATGACAGCTTCCATATATACGGCAGTGTTTTTATATGCAGCAGATATTTCACAGTGCCTGCAAAAATAGCATACACAGTGGGTGGAGGATGAGGTGTTTATGTGCCTTTGAGCTCAAAGTGTGCACACAATGGACTTTAACTTGTTAATACAGCCCTCTTTGTTTACCTTAATCGAATTCTTGTTCGGTCAGCTGCCAACAACTCGCATTGCGACCATTCAACAAGTTGGGCAAACAAAAGTGCCTTAAAATTCCTTCGCAAGAGCTGATAAAATATTTAGTTATCAATGCCACAGCAATTCAGGGCCGACAGAAGAGTTGGCTTTTTGGGAAAACAACTGGCGCAACCCACGCGATAAATATTTCAATTTGCATGCATTAGCATATTCAATCTAAAAATACCGGAAGCTGTATTGATTTTGTGCAACAAAAGCTTTGTTTCGATGTAAATTCTAGTTATTTTTGTTATTTTAAAACTAAGCTTAAAAACTCAATCATTTATAGGGAAGTCATTTTTCTCAGCATATAGCAATTACGTTTCTAAGAAACATCAAGAAAACCAATCTTCCGTTTAATTTATCTCCCATTTTGGCACAAAAAATAGGCAAGAGCTTATCCGAACAGAAAAAGCAACACAGCGCTGATGAAGGACATTACGCAATCGTCGCATTTTATTTGTATCCGCATATTGAACGCCCCGGGGATAAACCATTCATCAATTTGTTCGCTCAGTTGGTCAATGGCCCGGTTTAGTTAACCGACGTCAACAGCAGCCGTTTATCAAGGACAGTCGCAGTCGCTTTATCAGTAGCTGGCCAATTTTTCTAGTGGCATTAGCCGTCAATAACTACTGGCATACACATAATATAGATAACATGGCCGGGTTACAATGTGATAAATGTGTTCACGTTCGGCTGATTCGCAGTGCATTGTCGCTAATTAGGAAAAATGGCAAACCATCACTTTCCCTCCTTCATGCCACCATTCCAATTAAACAATCAATCAATAATAGGGAAGCGTGTCACTGCACCACAGTGTTTGCATAAATTATCGCTACAAGCGAAAATCACTGCTCAAATAGAAACCAGAACGATGGCATTCAAATGTGATGGTGTAGAGAAAACTGTCGCTAAGTGTTTTTCTCCCTTTTGTCAAGGATGGCACTTTTATTCAATTCAAAAGTACCCGAAAGCACGTCTGTCTCTCTGGGGCAAAACAATGCAAATAAGCGTGTTTAGATTGACAGCTTGGCGATCCGCACAAATCCAGTCGTCAATAAATGGCATTCAAATTTGCACAGCCTTAAAATTAGAGGACCTCGAATGGCAGGTGGCAAATTGGAGAAATGCAAATGAGTGGCGGCCGCTGCCAGGACTCCTGAATAATTCAGCAGGATGCGGCGGCAAAGACAAACAGCTGCGCACAACTCGACTAATAAGCTTTGATTGAGGCTTTCGGCATGTGCCCGTGCTTGTAGCTTTTGATTTGCAGCCAGGCTCAAAGGCGAGTGCTGTACAAATTGAGTTAAACTTCGACCATTCTTCACCCACTGACTGCAAACGCAATTTAAAATCGAATTTAAATGGGTAACTTTAATGTGTAAAAATGCGTTGGAATTCTCGTTGCATTTGGGTCAAATGGAAGAAGGGCAGCGGAATGTTAGTAGATGACGACCCGACCCTTCGTAAGCTCTTAAGACGCTTTTCTATTCGGAGCAGGGCAAAGGCAGCTTGGCCGCCGGCACACAACATAATTATCTGTAGCGCACTGTTGACATTGACATGCCAGTGCTGGGCAGACACTGCGTATGAGCGATTTCTCAGAGCAAACACTGGGGACTCGACATTTTACGGCCCGGGCATTCTTTGCAGCCGCGCCAGCTGGCAGTTGGCTAATTAAATTTCAAGATTTTCATCTAATTTCATTGAAATGTAATTTGCCGCACGGCAAACAAAACTTCCACCAACTGACCTTTGACATTTGGAGGCGTGCACACGCAAAAGCCAAGCGTGGAAAAAAAACGGAATAAAAGTAATTATGTATTGTGTTATTCACACACTCGTTTATCAACTGCAGACGTCTTGGGGATGAGGGTCTAAAAAGTTTTTTAATTATTTATAAAGAGCAAGCGGCACGTTTGGTCTTTGTGCTTGCCTCGGTTTCTTTTCTTTCTGGTGCCCCTCGAAGTATTTGCCTTTGTTGCGGCCAAAATATTTGACAAAACTTTGGCTCAAGTGTTGATTTATTAAATTGTTTAGCCGCAGTGGCAGACCGAGAGCGAAGGACGTTCAAGAGGTGCCGAGGGGGCAGAGAGGAGTGTGCATTAGCAACACCTGTCCAAGAGATATACCTGTGCCAACTCGGGAGCACGGTCCATTGCTTCCATTATGGGAGCTGATCAACGCTGAGCCTGGCAACTTGTTTACAACTTGTCTATTTATAGTGCCTCCCCTTTTTCCCCCCAATCAGTATTCCAGCGAAACACCCAGAAAGTTAAGCAGGTCCCACGCTAAGCTAGTTAAAGCTTCGTGACACTTTTTGCGAGACCTCGTTTAGGAGAAACCCAAAACTTTTTAATTAGCATTAGGCCATAATGAAATCCCTGATATGATATTTGTAGTTACAAACACATTTATCAAATGATATATCTGGGGCAGAAGAGGGTCCAAGTTGTGTAACCCAATATCCCAAAATGCAAACGAAAAGCTGGCAAATATTTGCCAGATGTTGGGCTTCCGTTCTCACATTTTCACAAGGAAGAGTAAAAAGTTGGCTGTTTAAGGTGAAGTAACTTTTGTAATTTTATTGAGCTTATGTCAACCTTTTAGTGTGATCAAAATTGAAAAGAAATCTGGAAAAGTAAGCTCTGTTTGTGTTCCCTCATTTTTATGTTATGTAAGCTCTTTTGAGTTTAAAATCTGACTGACTTAATTCCCCTTCAACTTTAAAGGAAGAAAATAATCTTTATTTCTGCGAAATAAAAATCAAGGCCATAAAGTAAGTTGTTGCAAGCTGAAAGACCACTTTAACTGTTATGGCCATAAACCACTGCAAGTGTGCGTTATAAACAGCTGCATAAATTTCAAATAGAATAGGGAACACTTATCCTGTTTTTATTTGAATCACTGCGGTATTAAAGGAATGCATCTTCTGTTTTGGAAAAGTATTTTTTAGCTCTAACTGTTTTATTTTTAGAATTCAACTATAAATGTGGAGGCCATAATGGGAAAACACCGAACAAAACTATTCCCGGCCAATTGCTGCCTTAATAGTCGGAGAAGTTCCATCTGTGAGAAATTGTTGTCATCTGGTCACAACAAAAGGCAGCCTTTGTCCGGTAAAGGACCACCGAGCTGCTTTCCAGGGCTAAAAATAAATAAATAATGCGCCTGGACCTGGCCCACCACACACTGCGTATACGTGATAAGGCATTGTGTGCAAGTGGGAGGCGTGTGTGCTGTGGTTTTTGGGGTCTCTCCGGCGAACCTTTTCCCTGGCCTGACCCAGCCAGGAATCTTGAACTCGAACTGCGTCTCTGTTTGTCCAGCGCTTTTCACTGGAAGCGCTGCGTGCCTCCTTTGTTTGTCTTGTATTTGCCAACATATGCTAGCCTTGGGTTACAAATGCCCGTGCCTTTAATTTGCAACCATCTGGGCGAGCGGCCACCGAATTTGTAAACTCGTTTTTCATTTGGCATAATAAATGAAAGAACAACAGCCAGCGATAAGCAAACGGAGACGAATGTGCCGATGTCAGACCGCAAAGTCATTGTAGCATTTGTCTTCGCAGATCGCCCCTTTACATCGGCAAAAAAATCCAGTTTGTTTTCGTGGCCAGAAGAAGTTCGCTGGATTGGCAAGTTGGGAATATGCAGGTCGAGTACGGGAACTCGCTGGCATCCTAATAAGGTCACAAGACTCTTGCATAATTCATGGGAAAACTATTGCCAGCAATATGAAACTATGCATAGCAGATGAGCGTTGACATTTCAAAGACTCCCGACAGATGTAGGACAAGCTGAAGGCGAGCAAATACTTTGCTGGCCTGAGAACAAGGTCAATTGAAAAGAAGGTCCATATTAGCACCACAACTTTGTTATACAGTTTCCCCATAATGGATCTATAAAGATCTGCATTTAGAAGAGCAATATTTTTCCTAGTTTATAAATGAGAAATTCCGAAGAATAGAAAGTTGTTATTGCAAGTGATAAAATAAACAATGCAAGCTCAGCACTTGCCTTCAAAGGTCTAAGTAAAAAGTGAATATAACAATTTAAATTGTGTTTTATATATAAAAACCAACCGACTTTATTGATGCGGTTGCCATGTGTGCCCATAAACGGTCTTGTAACAATCTGCTGTTGCTCTTGCAATCACAAGTATTGCTGCTGTTCTTGGGACTTAAGAGAGCTTTTCAAACAACAACACCCGGCGGAAAGGGAGGTGGCCAACAACTAACGCCTGTTGCCGTTGGCCACGTCAAAAGGAGTCCTGACTTAACGCTTTATGCAAGGATTTGGCTCACAGCCCGACATCGACGACAAGCGGCTGAAAAGGATGGTGGCGTCCGGGAGGGGAAGGCTTACCGACAGGTGAGTTTGTTGGCTTTTAAAGTAAAGTAAGTACACACCACCAGCCAACATAGTAGGCCTGGCACACTATGCATGCTCAAAGGCTCCAAGCCCAGACGTAGGTAAACTTTTTATCATCGCAAAGACAACGAGCCGCTTTGCGGCATTAGCCAAGTTTGGAAATTATTCCAGGCCAACCACTGGGCATAAAATTGCAGAGCTGCTGGTATTAAACCCAGCCAGCTGTGTGGGCGGAATTCCTGCGTGGGCAGTAAGGAAGCATATGTATTTACTTGAGCAAGAAATTGACTTTCGCCTTCTTTGCCTCCGACAGCTCCTCGTGTTTAAATTGGCGGCCAGCAATTACATTTAGCGGGGATCGAGATTTATTTAGATTTGCACGGCAATAGCTGACTGAATCTAACGTTTTACTGCCGATAAGGTCGTAACATCAAAGGCAATAAAATCTAAACACACTCATCGTCAAAGTCCCGCAGATAACACTCGGCGTATACGCAATATCGATTGGAATGAGAGCAAAAGTGTGTTCCCGGTCCCTTCGTGGGTTTGCCCTGGGTAAGCACACGCTTTCGGTTTGGGATACATTTTGATTTGTATTCGGCGATAGCGTTTGACGTAGGAGCAACAGATTTCCCTCGATTTTTTTTTTTTTTTGGCTTTTTTTTGTGTACTTCTACATGTGCCGCAACTTTATTACAAGGGCCGCACCCACGCGGTGCATGGGATTTTTGGCAATTACCTAAAAACGAGTTCGAAGTCCAACACAAATGCCGGGAAGCTCTAATTTGTAATTTAATCGGGAGCCTATTTTTAAACAGTCGACAAGGAAAATCATTTAGCCTGGTTGGGAGGCAATTAGGGATTCGAGTGGATAAAACAAAAATCAATAATTAATTACAGGGCACTCTGCTACAATTATAATTGGGCAAAAGTCACTGGTAAAATTTGCTTTCCTTTATGGGTTCATTTAATCATTGATTTGAGAGTAAAAACGAGCCGTTTACATTGCCCAGAATTCTGTGTATCTTTTTGCAAAGAAAAACATTCCGACGCAATTAGTTCTGGTACAGGACTCATGTGTAAGCTTGTGCAACACGAGAGCAGGGTCCATGGCAACTGTGGCATGCAATCAGCTTTTGCAGCCGAGTGGGGGCGGATGAGATTGCGCCATTGCAAATAGCATCGATGTCGCAATGAAGCCAGCGGATAACAAGGACAACTCACAGTGGAAATAATGCGGAGACGGTGCCTCAGGTGCCGACTGGATATCGGTTTGCCAGGGAAACTGCGAGTTAATTGGATTTAGCGCCTGCTTTATGTATCCTCCTCTTCCCGCTCCTTTTCCCAGACTCCATTGCAGGCTCTCTAGTTGTTATTGATGTCCCTAATTAATTGCGTCCGTTCCAGCACTTGAATTCGCATTAATCCTGCGATTCCCAAGTGAGTTATCGACCTAATCCAGGGGCGTGCAACAAGTGCGCGTCATAGCTGTCAACCGCTGACAGAATTGGGTAATGGTTATGCATTATTTTGACGGATCCCAGGCTTATAACAGGGACTCTGTGGGAATCGCAATGCTGTCAGGATTGCAGGACGAAACCGTTGACAAGAAAGTGAAAGTCGATACTGAGGTTTCAAAGAGAAAACTGCTGCCTGTCGTTTCATAACTTTGTTTGTAGCGGCTTTTATTGGAAAAGTTAGAAGGCAACAGAATGAACTTTATATACTTCAATATATTAAAGATAACTCTTGAACGGATTGCAATTGCCTTTAAACGTAAATGGAAAATGTCAACTATTTCACTCTAAAAATGTAAAGGGAATTTAATGGTAAAAAATGTGTTCACAAAAAATGCAGATGATTATAGAAAAATGTAGAGCATCAGACAAGAATGTGAGACCAGTGGTAATATGTTACCATACCAGAGAGTTTTGATTTAGTTTGCGTAGTGGTGAAGCCAGGTCAAAAGGCCCACAGACGAAAGGCATTTCAGTGAAAAATTACTGACCTATTATGGTGATGGGTGTGTGTGGTAAAGTTTATTTTCGCCACGCTGACCTTGGCTCGAGTGCAATGGCTGCTTGGCATGCAATGCGCAAATTTGCGCCTGGCGGTATGCAACGAAAACCCGCTCTGCCGACGGAAGTTGGCCAATGCCAGAGCCGAAAATTTTGCTCGTTGCCTTTGCCTGCTGGTCGAAATCTCCGCCCTCGGCATTCCGGGCACGCTCCTGGCAGCCACACACACACACACTGCGAACTAAGTCCCCGAGTCGCTATGGCACACTTAGACACGTAAACTTGGCCGCCCCCCTTGAGCAATCGCAATTAACGCCTGACAGTCGCCCGACAAGTGCAGCGTGTCAGCCCGAAACGCTGGCAACCTGGCCCAAAAACATCCGGCCGTCGGCAGTATGTTCATTGATTTTTCGCACAATCCACTTACCGGGCCTAGGTTGTCGAAGCCGTACTTGTCGGCCACTTCATGGGCGAACCCGTTGTCCACTCCGCGCCGGAAGCGCACCAGGAAGGAGCTGGTGAACACGGAGGGGCCGCTGAGGCCAGCACCTCCTGCTCCTGCTCCCGCTCCTCCGCCCGCTCCTGCACTGGCCAAGTGGAGGAGCAGGAATGGGGCCAACAGCCAGCTCCATGCGGCTGCTGCCATGGAATTCAGATTAGGCGCCTTGTCCTGCGGGCTTCGCCTGGCTCCTGGCGACGATGGGGCAACGCTGGCAGTTCGGAAAAACAAGACGTGCGACGGGTGTCCTTTGCGGGGGGATTTTCCGGGGGCAGTTGCGATGTGTCGAATGTAAAGGCCGCGCTTCACTGCACACTCGGCGTTTTCGCTTTTTGTTGGCAAGGAAGGTGCAAGGATCAAGTTGCTCGGCTGGCAAACCGTTCCTTTGTTGTGGTTGCGATTTGTTTTTCGAGTTTGTGTATTCGTGGTCCTCCTCTGGAGCTTGTTGTGCTTTCCCCTCGCTGGGAGTTTCAGTTGTTTCGGCTGAGATCTTTGTGCGCTGCCACGAACTTCACTGGGGCGCTGCGCGCTGAGAACTATTCGCCAGCGGTATCGACGGCCGCCATTATGAATGTCCGCCAGGCGCCGTGGAGGAGGCGAAAGCTCGCTGGAGAAGCTCGCTCGAAAGCTCGGAAAAGCAGCCGAAAACGCCGCCCGCCACCCACTCGACGCACCCCTAAGCGAACCTCGCGCTGTCCCGCTCGCACCTGCAGGGGCGTTGTCAGGATCTTATTAAAGGGGCGTGTTGGAAAATATAAACACATTTATCTTTAAACTGTTCCTTTATAGTTAAGTCCATCCATTGGTATCCATTAAAGAATTAATATTTTAGGGAAAATACTAACGTATTTCTAAAGCATATATTATTGCGCATTTTAAATTTATATCTATCTAGAAGTGGATTTTAAACCCACCAAAATCCTGACTACTCCACTGCTTACCAGCTACCGCTCAGCTGCGTTAACTAAGCTTTTATTTTGGCTTTTTCCTCTGACTCTGGCTTTTGCAGCGGTTTTAGCGGACCGTAGACGTCACCAATTTGGCCGACCGCTGCCATAAAGTCACCCAAAACTCCCCCACCCAGTGCTAAATGCTAGCAACTGTTTCGCCATTGGTTTATGCGCTCCGTCAACATATGGAAGCATACTTGACTTTCGCCGACTTTCGCCCGGATTCGACTAGAGTCGAATGCCACAGCTACAGTGCAGAACGCGAAGGGACGACTATTCATAAACATGAGCGCAATTGCCTCTTACGCGTAATGGCTGCGAAAGGGCTTCAACTTTGACCTTAGCCCAAATAAGTTCATAAAGCCCCGAGCTCCGAACCCAAGCCTTTAAACTGCAGGCCAAGCAAGAAGCGAAGACAGCTGGGCCCACTTTCGCCGGCTTTTTATGCCAGCTTGATTGTTTCAACCACGTTTAAGTGCGAGATGGGAATTCTCATATTTTGATTTCATTTGCCGTAAATTCTTCTTCCCAGGGAAATCCCTTTTCAGGCGCCTCATTACTTTTTAAACTGAATTTTATGGACATTTCATAAATTGACTGTGGGATAATGTCAGCTTGATTGGTTGAGAATGAACTCTTATCCGGGAAACGGAAAGTTTTCGATGAGAATTTAAGCTTTTATTTCTTTTTAATTAAATGATATTGTGAGTGAGTATAAAATTAGCAGATTATGGAAGGTGGTTGCATATGCTAAAATAGTAAGGCCTGTTAATCTATTTTATACGCATTAATATTAATAAAAATATCTTTAGAAACTAAGACTTATTTCAAATCTATGCGAACGAAGTATATTCCTTATGCTTATAGGATAGCAATACTCTCCTTATGTTTATTTAACGTTAATATTTTAATTTATTCATGAACCAATTACCTTACATTCTATTTAATTGTTAATACGTATGTTAATCAACCAACGGGTATATTTAAATTCTAGTTTACGCAAGTTAACAAGCTGCTTGCCACGCAACTTAAAGCAGGGATAAATTCGAGCTGACCTAAATAACCAAAGGTAGCACTGAAAGAATATCAAAACAGAAATCCTTCGCCTACATTTCAATTAATTTAAAACACCGTCGCACCCAACGAGCGCCCCATCGGCGAATGAAAGATAAACCGGGGGCCGAAAACTCACTGGCTGTCCGTGGCCAGTCGCAGCCAACTGTCAGTCGCTTCCACCTGTGCAGGTGGGCGGCGCATCCCCGGCCCGATAATGCCGAGCATATGGCGTGTCGCATGCGCCGAACGGGCTCAGAAACATTCGAAGCGACAATTGAGGGACCTGCTTTAAATTACAATTAATTTTTAATTAGCCTTAAATTTACATTTAGAAAGACGCTTAAGAGGTGCATGAATCAATTAGCGCACTCGTATACTGGCATTAATGCAAAATGGTCAAGGAAACGGCAACGGAAGCCAATCGAAACAAAACGAAAAAGCTTAAACCTAACTTTGCTCATCACAATCGGTAGTCGCTGAGGGGAAGCTGAAGGTGGTTATCGGGTTTCATTTCCGGCTGCCAAAGAGTTTGCCGCGCGCTGCAGGGAACTAACTGATAAGCTGCTCTTTAAGAACGGAATTCACTGCGCACTTACCATGCGATGTTCCCGGGGAAAGGGCATGTGAGCTGGCGTGGCGCTTGATGCGGGGCGTGTCCTTTAGTTCGGAAGATGAGGAGGCACTTGTGGAGGTGTTTGTTCCCTTGCCGGCCATTAAATTGGTCAGGGTGGACACTCCGCTGGAGGAATCCCCGGTGGTGGGCATGGATTTATAACGTTGCAGCGAGGTTCGTGGCTTTTTGGGCATTGTGGCCTGCTGCACTGCTTCCTCCAGAGCGCTCAGCCAGTCCTCGCTCTCGCTTTCGTCCTCCAGAAACTTCATGTAGAACGAGGGTCGCTTCGCCTTGTTATGACTGGTGGGTGTGGTGGTTGTGCTTGGTTTCGGAGGTTCCTGGGGTACAATTTTCGATTCTATCTGCTGCGAGGCTTCCAGCAGGAAGAGATCCGAGTCGGAATCGTTGAGAAAGTCTGCCATGGGATCAGCGGCAGCCGGTTCAGGAAGCAATGGCTCTGAAGAAGTCTTCTTACAGGCGGATCTTGTTCGGGCAGCTACAGGTGGAGGGATCTTTGGCGTTTGAAGTGAGTCTTCTGGCTCCGACACCGCTATTTGGTCCATCTGACTGTTCAGCTTGGCACAGCGCTCCTTGAGAAGAATATTGGCCCGCATCTGCTGCGCCCGCCACTGCTCGTTGTCGAGTTGTGTGCGCCGATCCTCCCAGCCCTTGAAGGCGATCTGCCGGCGGCGTTCCTTTTGGCTAAGACTACCTATTTCTGCCGAGTCGAAGCCACTATCAGTGGTGGCATTGCTGCTTTGGTTCCATCGCCACCCTACCTCTGGACTTTCTGTGCCCAGCGTCTGCGAGAACATACAGTTGGGGGACATACTGATGTCCAGGCGGGGCAAGAAGTCCACACTGTCGTCTAGACTGGCCTTTTGCTTGTGCGGTGGCGTGCTCTCTACATCGGAGGTAAATCCGCCAATTGATGAGGCGTTAGGGGACCCAGGAGGCTCCAAGGAACCACTTACGTCGTGAGCGCTTCCTGAGCGCCCGCAGCTCTGTGGCGAAGCTACGGGAAAGTGCGTTTTAAGGCCTTCGTGTTGTTATAGAGCCTCATAAGTACTCACCACTGAGACGTTTCTGCAGTAAGCGAGTGCTGAGCGTCAGCGACCGCCGTTTTATAAATGCGTTCTCCATTTATTTACATTTATTTTTATTTTTCCGGTGAAAAATGCGCTCAAAATTAAAGTAGCACACGAAGTTGCCAGAGAGTCACAGTCAAACTAAAGCTGGCAACTCTCATATTCGAGTGGTTCGATTATTGCGCTTGCCTATCGAACCGGAACTATTATTTTAATTAAAAAACGTACTTAAATGACAATATATTATATTATTAAATTCATAATTATATTTAAATTATAATAACATCACAAGATCTAAAGAAATTTATGTGGTCCCAACCAGAAAAGTGTAACCAGCTTGCAAATCAGCATTGGAATTAACACCATACAGAGCAACGGTCACATTGCTAGCATCGTATGGTGATGTGTTAAAACCGAAATTTTGAATACAATCCACGGAGCCAGGAAGATGAACTACAATCCGAACGCGGGTATGATGCGGAACCGTAAGTGGGAGAACTGTAAGGATCAGGCTACGCAAGCAAGTATACCCGAAGGATGTCCGGTGCAGCCACTCCGGAAGTTCCACCGCCGCCCCGACCGGAATCCGGAGTGCGCCCGCAGCTGGCACTGTTTACGTTGAACGTTACCCCGTTTTGTGATCCGCTCCTGGCTTTCACCCACTGCATCCCGCTTTCCTTGTTACTGTGCCGCCCTGCGTTTCTGTTAAGTGCTGCGTGTGTAGCTTGAATGCCTGTTTTCTCCCGCTTTCCCAATTGTCTTGCAAAGATCCTCCGGCACTAACCCTCGGTTGCTCTATCCCAAAATAGCCACAGCTACCGGCCGCCCGAGGCCTGCGAAGCGTGTCAGTGATGTGAACGCCATGGGTCCCTCAGCTCCGATGATGGGTGGTGGTGCAACTTTCATGGCCCCGCCATCCGGTCCAGCCATGCTGGATCCCAATATGTACGGAGCTCCTGCTCCGGCGCCGGTTAACAGCTACGGCTTCGACCCGAATCTCGGCCAGCCGCAGCAGCAGCCGCCACAACAGCAGCCAGGATATGGCTTCGGGGCACCTGCACCGCCTCAGCAGCCCACGGCACCTCCTGCTTTCGGAATGGGAGCACCTCAGTCCGGAGCCGCACCCCTGCCAACCGGACAGTATCCACAGTTCGCCATGTTCCAGCAGCCCATCGTCCAGGACATGGCTATGGAGTACGGCCAAAGGCTGGCGGATCAGGGCAAGCAGCTGGTGGAGAACCAGTTCGAGAAGTGGGTACCTGTGGCTAAGCTCAAGTACTACTTTGCCGTGGACAACGCCTACGTGGGCAGGAAGCTGCGCCTACTCTTCTTCCCATACGTCCACAAGGTGGGATTGTGAACCTAATGATGAATCAGTAATCATATCATGCATTTATTTCAGGACTGGTCTCTGAGGTACGACCAAGAACACCCAGTGCAACCACGATATGATGTCAACGCCCCGGATCTCTATCTGCCCACCATGGGCTATATTACATATGTAATCGTTGCTGGTCTGCTGCTGGGCATGCAGAAGCGATTCTCGCCGGAACAGTTGGGCATCCAGGCCTCCAGCGCCATGGCATACAGCATTTTCGAATTGGTCATCTACTCCATAGCATTGTACGTAATGAATGTTAAGACCAGCCTTAAAACGCTGGACCTGCTGGCCTTCACTGGCTACAAGTACGTTAATATAGTGGTCTGCCTGATGGTCAGCACGTTGTTCTTCAAGTCTGGATATTATATAGCGCTGGCGTACACCAGCTTCTCTTTCGGCTTCTTTTTGGTGAGTTAAAAATTGAGACTTATTTGATGATTATAGGTAAACAATCTTCACTTTTCCAGCTCCGCACGCTGCGGACTAAATTGTTGCAGGATAACTCACCTGCAGCTCCCAGTGGAGCCATCAACTACGACCCCTACGGAAATCCACAACAACTCGACTACAGTGGCGGGAAAAAGCGGAAGCTGTACTTCCTGTTCATGGTCGTGGTTGGACAGGCGCTGTTCGCCTTCCTGCTCTCCAAGCATTTGTATCTGCCAGAGGCAGAAGTGCTGGCGGTGCCCAAGACCTTCTAACCACCCTGATTGAAAGGTTAATTTGCAGGCTCCTTGAGGTATCCGGGTTGTGGAACCGAAGAAAAGTCATTTCCAGCATGTTAAATCCCCTCAGTAGTTCGTGGTTGGCGGTCGACTGAGATTCGCGCAATAGAAGCCTAGTTTTGTTAGTAACAAACACATTTTATAAATAAATACCAGCTGTAAAAACGAATTTTTTATATAATTTTATTGAAATTTTAGTCTCTTTTACTGTAACGTGTTGTTGGTTGTTGTTGCTTGCTCTGCTCATTGTTAACTTATTGGCTAACTTCGCAAATTGCCGCTAGTTTCTCCTGGTTCGTTATAAAATATATGTGTGAGAGTGTCTGCCTGTATGAAATGTTCTGATGTGATTCGGGTCGGGTATCAGATTTCAGATTTCCGATTTCCGGTTCCTGTCTGCATTTAGTCTAATTTGTTCGGTTGTTGTCTGCGTCTGCATGCTAAAACGTTGCACTCGGCTTGCATCAAAAAATAAAAGGCATACGAATCCGTAGTAATAGTAATGATAACAGTTCCTACTTTAGGTTAGTTCGTGAGTTTACATAGTTAGATAGTTCGTCGTTGGTTAGTTTGGGGCCTCGACTGCAACTCAGTACATAGCACAATGTGAAAAACGTCCTCTCCTCGTACAAATTCGCTAGCTTAGCTTCTGGTTTTCCCTCTATTTGATTCTGTTTTACTTTAGTTTGCTAATGCAGTTCGCTTCTTCGTTCTTTTGCTTTATTTATCGTGTGTAGTGTAGGCTAGCACTTAGTAAATATTTATAAACATGCTTTGCTTTGTTTTCAACAAATTCCACGTACTAAAAAAATAATACATTTACAACTAATAATTTAGATTAAACATTTACGTTTTGTTCTGTTGCCTGATGCTGCGTATAGATCGTAGTTATGTTGTACATAGCTATATATCGTATATATAATATATATTACGGGTGTACTGTGTGTGTGTGTGTGTCTGTGTATGGTTCATAAACTCATTTAGGCTACATTTGGAATACAAAATACGCAACATAAAAAACCTTTAAAACTCTTGCTCCTATCAATAAATTATCGAAATCAATCGCCTAGCTTTAACCTAGATCACCGACTGCTTCTGCTGCTCCTGCTGCTTGACAAGATTACGCTGATAGTTGACCAAGTCCACTTTATTGAACTAAATTACCGTCCCGCCGGGCGCCGCCGTCTGTCCAGGTGACAAGTGCTGAGTGGCGTGCTGCGAGTAGGATATTATTAATTGGATATTCAAGAAAAATATTTCAAATATATAAGCACGAACTTACCGTGGCATGACCTGGCCGCGCCCAGGTGTAGATGAATCCATCCTGGCACGCCGTCAGGAAGCAGTCCTCGCGAAAGATCAGCGCCGTCAGTCGCTCGTGGGCGATCTTCTTGCAGACCAGCGGCTCCAGCAGCGGGCACTCGTCGAAGCGCGGGCAGGCGGGCGTGCCGATGAGCTGCATGGGATCGAAGCTGCTCACCCCGGAGCCAGAGCCCGCTCCTGCCCCCGATCCCGACGACTGGGCGGCCGTGGCCAGCGAGGAGTGGTGCGACGACCGGCTCAGCTTCAGGGATCCAAAGCTGTGCGCCGTCGAGCTGCTTCCGATGGCACCAGCCGCTCCCGAATCCAGCGTGCTCGAGTGGCCGAAGTTGGAGGAGCTGCTGTGGTTGCTCTGGCTGTGGTTGTTGTGGCCGCCACTGTGATTGTGCTGGTTGTAGCTCTTCAGCATGCTCATCGCCTTGCGGTGCTGGCGGTGCGCCGTCGAGTGGCTGCCCTCGTAGCCGGCGGCCTTTTTATCCGAACTGCTCAGAAAGCTGAAGTTCGAGAGGCGCTGCGTGAGACTGTTGAAGGCGCTGAAGCCACTGCCCGAGTTGGAGGACTTGTTCGAGCTGTTGGAAGTCTTGCTGTTGTACCCGGAGGTGGATTGCGATGGCCGCTGGCCACTCCCGCTCCCTCCTCCTCCATCGATGCTGTCCGACTTGGTGGCGCTGATGCAGTTGGGGAATTTGATCGAGTTGCCTGTGCCGTGATTTCGATTGTTTTGCTTGGTGGAGGTGGCTGCTGTCGCTCCGGCATTCGAGGATGTGGAGGCGGGCGTGGCTGCCTCGGTGTCGATGTCGTCGGGCGAGGATTGCGAGGATATCGTGCAGTTGGCGGTGGAGAACTTGCTGGAACTGCTATTGCTGTGCTCACCGGCACCGTTTCCTGCTCCACCGCCCGCCGTTTCCCTGGTTGGACTGCAGCTGCTTGATTCCGCCTGCTGTCCTCCCGCTTGACTGGACATGGCCACTGGTCGGATCACCTTTATGTCATCCTCCGCCTCCGCTTCCTCGTCCACTCCGCCATTCAGATAGCCCCTATCGCTATTCACCCGCTGTCTCAGCGCCAGCGGATGGCGCAGCACATCCTCCGTGATGTCCCACAGGCAGATCTGCGTGTCCTGGCTGACGGAGCCCAGTCTGTAGCTTATTGCCAGCTTATCCGCCGAGGAGGCATCCGAGCGGAAGGAGGCAGAGTGGGGTCGATTGCGGGATGCATGCACGGGCGTTGAGTTCCGGTCGAAGCCCTCGAAGCCACCGTTAGCTGTGGAGTCTCCGGAGAAGCGTGCCTCCCGCGAATTAGAGTACTCGTTCATTTGATTCTCATCGTCGCTAAAGTCGCCACCATCCCAGTTGGTGTACGACGTGGTGTAGGGGTCGAAGGCCACCACTGAGACCCAGGATCTGTGGCCCTGTCCACGGGCCACTACTCGTCGCTCTTGCAGTGACCACACGGTCACCAGGTCGTCCTCGCCGCCCACCACAATGTACTTTCCGTCGGGCGACCAGCAGACGCACAGGAAGCCGCCGAAGTAGGAGCGCGCGATGCCCAGCAGCTCCATGGTGTCGTAGTGAAAGACGCGCAGGAAACCGTCCTGGGAGACCACCGCCAAGTGGGAGCCGCAGGGCGAGAAGCAGAACTCGTTGACGCAGCAGTTGTCGGTGCTGAAGACCCACTTGTAGAGCGGGTTCCTTGTGGTCTTGGCCTTGCAGGTGAGTATCGTGTAGCCGTCACCCAGCTTGAAGGGCTGATAGCTGGGCGCAGTGGCGGCGCAGGGCAGTTCCTCGTTGTACAGATACAGGTGACCCGAGGCGTGGGCGGCGAGGAACAGGTGCGGTGAGTTGGGCAGCCACTTCAGGCAGGTCACTTTGGTCTTGTCGATCAGTCGCTGAAACGCACATTGTTATAAGCTTTGGATTGAAAGCTATAAATCAAGGCACTCACCTCCTCGTTGAAGAGCTTCCTCACTTCACGGGGACCGACCTGCGGGGAGACCAACTGGATCTGGCCCGTGGTGAAGCCCACCAGCAGGGGCGCGCCCGTGGGCGTGGCCGCGCTCGCGTTGAAGTCGTGGCAGCTGGGATTGGTGCCCTTGTAGAACTTCTTATCGATCGGCTTGCTCATCTCCGTGCCCTGCAAGTAAGTCAACAAGTCAGTCAGTCACTATCATCTGTTTCTGTTTATCTTGCTCGTGCTGGATTGCACTATGTTTTCTATTTAAAGCTAGAAGTTGAGTGGTTTCGGTAGAGAGGTTGCAACTAGAGACCCTCTGAAAGGGATTGTTTATGAGGTTTTGTTGTATAAATAAATACGACTCAGTTCAAAAACATTTTTTACATGCATAAAAAAATGAAATCGTTATGAAATCATCATTTTGCATCTATAAGATTTGAAATAGTATAACAGAGGTGATGCGATGGGAAGAGCAAGTGGACCAGTCTACAAATCAACGAAATCGAAAGTGAAAACCGAAACAGAGCCTGATGTTTCCGCTTGGCCTGAGATCGGAATGGAAGTTTACCTCCAGAGCGATGAAATAATCTCCGAAATTAACACGTTCTGGAAGGGGTATGGAAATTAGCAGCTTGTTGGCGGAATCAGGTGGAAAAAGCTATGTCTGCGGCCAAGAGCGTTTGCCAAGTTTTCACTAGCAGATAACTATGGCAACACAGAAGCCAGCTAAAACAAATACAGAAGGAGAATCGCAAGCTGTTGCTGAACAGAATGAACAAAATGCCAAAGAATTTGAAACAGCTGCTGGGCAGGGGAAAAAAGGCAAACACAGCGAGGCGATGAGCAATGACTTTTTGGGTAAGTCGAACGGGGAATGCTCTGTCGACTGCATTTAGCTAAAATTGTGGCTAATGAGCAGGTGCTTCAACTGCTTTGCTCGGCCTTTAATTGGACTAAAGCCACCTCCCGCTGATTAAGCGGGTTCTAGGTGAAAGGCAGGGTAATCTGCCCGTTGGGACAAGTTCAAAACGCTCACAGCCGACTGCCTTCGAGCGCAATAAACATTCATAAAAACGCCAAACAAGCGAATTGATCATCAAGCGCTCGAAGTGGAACAAATTAAGCCCGCTGGGGGGACACTGCATGTAAATGGCAAGGTATTCGAGCCCCTGCCAATTGGCTGGTGCAATTGCCGGCAGCCCCTATCGCTGACTGGGATGATAAGCTGGATGCGCCGCCTCTCCTCCGACCTCACGTGCTTTGCAATGCTGATGAGCGAGTGCATCTGTCATCGCCACCCTCTTTGGCTCACCTTTTTGGCTCCGCGAAAGGAGTAGACGTAGAGATCTCGGCCGAAGTTGAAGCAGATTCGGTCGCCGCCTAGGACCTGGCTGGTGGCCACTCCGTTCTGGTCGAGGACACCGCCGTTCATCATGGAGTGCATGGAGATGCCTCCGCCGAGACGGGCGTCCACTGTGCTGTTCGCAGCACTATTGCTGCTGTTGCCCACGTGATTGCTGTGGCCGAAGTTGCTGTCCCCGCCGGCGCCTCCGTTGGATATTGCTGCGGTGGCCCCGCCAGATCCTGTGGCTGCTCCAGCTCCCGTGGGCGAGCCTGCCGGTGAGGGGCCATTCGTTGTGTTCGCTCCGCCTGCTCCGCCCACAGGTGACCCCGCCCCCGTTCCCGTTTCGGAGCCCAGCTTGCCCTGCGCCGGATTGGGCAGGGTCACCATGGAGACGCGCACCTGCGGCGAGCTCTGGTTGCTGCTGTAGCCCACTCGGTTGGGCCGCGAGTACTCCGAGAGGGTCAGCAGGCGGTAGGTGCCCTCGCGGGTGACGAACTGCGTCTTCAGGTCGTCCTTCACACTGGCGTCCAGTTGGTTGGCCATCACTACAATGGCAACGGCGATGGCTCCTCTGCTACTGCTGCTCCTCCGCGAGTCCGCCACTCAGCCCATTCGAATGGCAGGCGCCCAGTGGTGCTAGTGGTGGCTGTGCAGGTGCTCCTCCTCTTACTCCGCGTCCTCCTGCCCAACGCAATTCGTCGGTTTTCGCCACTAATTAAGCGCCAGTGGGGTTGGGCTTGCGCTTTTCTCGTTCTAATTAGATTTGATTCCTTCACTACACCGAGTTTCGTGGGGCTCTTGCGCCCGTGTTGTTGTTTCTGCCGTTGGAGCTGCGTTTTCCTTGCTTTTGGGCCACTGCGGTGGTTGCCTGCATCACGGCGCGGTGGCGGCGGGTTGAGGGTGACGGGGCTCGCGGTTATCGCATCGGCCGCACGCTCGCTTTAATTCCGCACAAATTACTTAATTTATTTTTTTTAATTTCTGATTGGAACTCTGAAGAGTGTGGTAGTCGCTTTTTCCGCACAGAATAACAAGGGCTCGCCAGAGTGGCCGGGAGGGGCGAGGATTTTTGAAATTCCGTGAAAAGGTCACACTTAAAGAGAGAAGATGCGGGTTTTAAAAGAATTTTTTAAGTTTTCAACATTCTTAGAAAAAAGTTGCTTAAAATAAACACTAAAATATATGCGAGATAAGTTAAATATAAGAAGTTTGTAATGGGCACTACCAGTTATAAAGTGTGCTGCCAGACTGTTTAAAATTAGTGTGAACTGGCGTTGCCAGAATCTGAAAACACGGTTTTCCAATGCTACCAACCGGGATGTGGTTGTGATTATTTTTGATGGGTAGCATTGTCCCTAGTGGCGGAATATTTGAATTATTCTTGATACAAGTTTTTTCTGTTTAGGTATATTAAAATATGTATTCTATGTTTTCCTTTGAAAAGGACTTCCTTTTTCAGTGACTTATCTTGCTCTTACAACTTATCCATTATTTATTTCCACGCCCTGTCAAAGGGCAACCAAAGAAATAAACAACGTTAGCCAGAAGCCAATTGCAATGACTTGCGTTATTCCAGCAACTGGCATTGTGTGTGTGCGGTGTTAGCCGGAAATGCATTTGGCATGTCCTGCGAAATTGGCCAGTGAAGAAGAAGAATGGGAAAATGAAGCTGCTGCTGCTGCTGCTGCTTTGTTGCCTTTCCGCCTTTTGCTCGCCCCATTTTCTTGTTACTTTGCACTGCCAATTGCATTGGAGTTTCCTGCTAAATCTCGTTTCGGACACATGTCTTTTGTCTTGGCGTTGTCACCCTAGGAATGCCCCCTTCGGCTTAGCCTGGCCAAGTGGGATGTACCGACTGCTGCCGAGATGGGCAAACAACTGGCGACCTCGGGGGCGCATCGAACTCGAATCAATCAAGAGCGATTGATAAGAAGGGCCACTTGACGGCACGAGAATGTGGTATAAAAACCATCGTTGCAGGCCAGCGAACCACCCACTTTCACCCACGCCATGCGACTGAAAGGTGAGTCGATCTCGAATCTCGATGGTGTAACTTCACAGGACCAAAGCTGATTATATCCGATTAGACCGATTAGTTTTCTGGCCACTCGCCTGCTGCCTTGTGCTGCTGCTGCTCCTTCCGACCGGAACTCAATCGCAGTGCAACGACACCCACCAGCCGGGATGTCTGCACCAGGCGGAGCTCGGCCTCGCCCAGCGACACTGTCTGGATCCCACCAAATTCTGGCTCTGCACGGTTATCGGCCAGGAAGCGCAGCTAAAGAAGTGCCAGCCCAACACAGGATTCGACCAGGACCTCAACGCCTGCGTTCCCTGGATCGCCTGGGTTTGGCAGCCTTGCACTGAGCCACCGAGTCGTCCTCCAGGATATGAGCCCTGCTAAAATCTAATAAAAAATGGTTATTAGTTGAGAAAACTTGCATTCCTAACTGGACTATGATTGTTTCTTTCCTAAATAAACGATGCTATTCAAAAAACCCTCTATTTAATTGGACTATAGTAGACATTCGAAAGATTATTGGTTAATTATTTCACTCAATATAAAAGCAGTTCAATATCCACAGCAAAACAATTTCATACGTGTTTCCGTTAAAATGGGTTTCCCATATGATTTGAATATTAAGTGCATGCTAATTTATTAGTTGTCCATGCTCAGCAATTTGTACAATAATATCCATAAATAAAAAGCCAATAAACCATTAGAAATTATAATGGCAAATTTGTCCACATTAAGGCTCTTAACCCTAAATTATGCGAGCTAGGAAATTAGTTATGGAGTAAATAAATAAAGGTTATTTAAATTATGGTTATACTCACAAACATGTTATACCCACAAACGCCTCCCAGCTTAGTTCTTTTTTCAATAGATTCATTTAAATTTTTAAAGAAAACATCAAAGCCGATTAAATCCCGACAAAAACAGTGTGATTGAAAATACCCAACCTAACATCAATTGTTTGTGTCTGAAGTGACACAAATAAAAACAACTAAATATTGTAGTAATGCTTTTTGTAGTGCAACCAAAGCTAATAAAGGAAGCGGCGTGAATGTGTCAATTAGTTTGCTTGTTCGGCGCGGTGCCAAATATTTGTGGGCCAGTTTATCTCCAGCTCCCCGAGTTCCCCTTTCGGCTTATCTGGCTTACCAATGTCAAGAGCAAGATCTGCGAGAGCGATAAGTCATATATCTCTTTTTTCTCTTTTGGTATGAATCATACGATTATGATCTGCGGCACACTGTTTTTTCTCTCAGTGCCCGGATGACCGAGAGGCAGAGTGTATTTTTGTGGCAGCGATTCGATGATCCGGCGATAGCCAGTTGCAATTACTGCTGCAATTGTTAACGTGCGGCTTCTGACGGCAGTTAAGCGCGTCTGAGTGACGAGCCACGCCCCATTTTTGTGGGCGGACAGGAGGGCAATTGGGTTTTTGGTCGCCGGCAATGCATTTGTCATAAATCAATATGTCAGGGCGGGGAATCCTTTCCCAGCAGCTCAACAGTTGGCCACCTCTTCCCGGATCCACCGCCACTCTCTGGCAATAAGTTGCACTATTTTCGATGCGCTCGCCCGTGCATTTGGTGCGAGCATTTTATTTCATTTCACAGTTGTCAGTCAAACGCTTTGTCAGGCCGGCGAGCACATCAATAAGCGGCAAAAAAATACGATTCAATCGAAAATTTTATTTCTCGCTTTTGGCGTCGTGCGTGTGGCATACAACAAAATATTTGCATGTAAAAGAATTTTCCGCCATCCGAGCAGAGCGTTCCGAAAAGGTAAAAATTGTGAAATGAAATTTTTAGCGTACGTGACGTATACGCAATATATTTAATTGCATTGAGGGTTCTTTTTGTGGAACGGTTCTCTTAAATCCCCTGCAAGTATGTTTTAAACTGTTTGTGACAGTGCACAAAAAATGTGTACATAATTGGGCCTTAGTGCGCAGTGGGCTGAACTTTAAATCAGTGCTTAAATCCCAGCCTGCGTGCAGGTAAAATAATGGCCTTGTCTTTGAAAATCTCAAAATACTCGGGAAATGCTACAAATGCCACACGAATTAGCATAAATCACCGAAGGCAGTGCGACAGGGACAGAGGGCGGCAGGAAGTGGGATTTGCTGGGCAGAAAAGCGTCGTTCCTCCCGGTAGCTTCACTTAATGGCAGACATTAATAACCCGATTTAATTTATGGCCCAAAACTAACAAAAGCCCAATCCGCAAGAGCACCAACCGAACAACCGAGCAGCCGAACAACCGAGCAACAAAGGCCAAGAAGGGCACCAAGGAGGCCTTTTCCCGAGTTGCAGCGAGTTGCGAGCTGCGCTGCACTGCGGCAATTACTCAAGTGCGCCAGGACCTAATGTGGCTTAAGGCGATCCCACCACCTCCCACTTGGCACTCCCCCTCCCTCCTACGTGCAGCCAGGTGAAATTTGTTGGCCCGGGCCCCAAAAATGCCTTTGAGGCAGTGTTTTGAATTAATTAGCCAGCGTGGCACTGGCCAAGCCAGCAACATCGTTGCTCCTCCGCTTGTTTGCGGCCTGGCCGGCTATCTCGCAAAATAATTTACAGCTGCCGTTGATGTCATGAATATGCAAGCAGCCTGGATGACTGCCTAGATGTGGATGTGGCTTTAGATGTGGCTGTGGATGTGGGTGGGAACCACCCGGGCAGCTCTTAGCTGGCGGCTCGAGCGGAAGAAACAACAATTGGGCAAACAAACAGCGCCATAAACTGCCTGCGAAATGGCAAACAGAGTGGGCAGGTGGGCTGATTCCAGATGAGCTTATCGCGACCACAGCATCGCACCTCAACTTCCGCTTGATAAGATTTCGGCTGTTCATGGAGTGTATAAAAAGCGGACCACAAATTAGCATAGGTCAGTCCAACGATAGCATCCCCAAACTCAAGATGAAGTACCTTCCTTTGCTCGCTATTTTCCTGATCCTTGGCTGCTCCTCCCTTTCCAATGGAGCTGCTGTGGGCAAGCCCACGGGTCAACCGGGATGCCAGACGGAAGAGGAGCTGACGGTGGCCCTCTATCCCCACTTCTACCTGAAGAACGCCTACTGGATTTGCTCCGCCCAGGGAGTTCCCGCCACCCTCGCCCAGTGCCCCATCGCCTCCGCCTGGCTGGATTCCGCCAAGAGATGTGTTCCCTGGTCCGAGTGGACCTGGTCGCCCACCGTCCTGCCCCCCAGTGAACCCGCAGTTGCAGTCTAGGATTGCCGAACAAGAAGCCAAACATTTGAAATTCTTGAAAAATATTTGGAAAATATATGAAGTTCACCAACAAAAGTTGTATCCTTTTTTTTATTCTTTTTGGCAAGCCAAAATAATTTTCAACTCTTTATTGTGTTTAATTAAATTTTATACTTACATTCATTCGTGGAATTCTCTGTTCCATCTCTTAAATTCACAAATTGTTGCTAAGCAACAAAGTCTCTCGTTTCTAAAGAGATACCCCTGGCAATCTTTTGGTAAACAATTATTTTTCTGCAACTCTGAGCAGAAAGTTTCCAGTCATTGTTATAGTTGGCTTAGTAACTAAAATTCGTTAAACAAGCTGTAAAACTGCGCACAGAAAAATATTTTTGCTGTAATGCAGGCTGAAGATTAGTAGAGCAACTACCTAGTGGAAATTTTTGAGTCACTTGTTTTGCTGCAGCTATACGATTTTATGATCATAATGTTTACTGTTTACGATTCGTATTGGGTATAAAATGTAAATATTTAAAGAATGGAAAATCCTTATAATAACCTTGAATTGCTTCATAGAATATTATTTATCTTTGTCAATATTATTTTGTAAATGGACATTAAGTTTCATCAATTTCCATCTCAGATCTCATCTTTTGTAGCCATGTCTGGAAAGGACTACAACGGAGAGCCCGGCTGTCGAAGTCCGGAGGAGTTGGACAAGAGCTACCGTCACTTCTGGGACCCCACCGCCTACTGGCAGTGCGGCGGGAAGGGAAAGGGAACGGAGCCCGCTCAGCTGCGCCGTTGCCCCGCCAACGAGCTGTACTACGACCGGGAGCGGCGGTGCGTGAAGTGGAAGGACTGGCAGTGGACCGAACCGCAGGACCCGCCCACAAAGCCAAAGCCGCGCAAATAAAACGGCGTGCATGTATTGAAACAAATTGTCGAAAATATAATTAAAAAGCGCTTTCCGATTTTTCCCGGGTGAGTGCTGGTTAATTTATGCGTGGGCTGATGCGCGGAAAGGGGGTGGAGGAAAGGGGGCGGGGCATAAGCCGCTTTCGGGGGGATGTGCTCCTCGCTTGTTGATGCTGGCGGGGATTTGCTTTTGTTTTCGGGGGCGCCATACGTGCAACAATTACGCAGTGTGCGTGTGGAGTGGCCTTGTCCACTCCACCAATTCCCTCCCATTTCACTTCCAATCCCCCCGATTTCCCCCCCCCCCCTTTGCCCTCTGTTTGTTTGTGCAATTTGGTAAATTGACATGACGGCAATTTCCCATGGCCGTCGGTTCCTCGCTGAGCTGCACGGACTTAACTTCGCTTGCTAGTTTTAATAATTTTTAATTAGCTGCAGCGGAAAGCTCTCAAATGGACAAACAAAATGTGTTGCCCGCTTTGCGGCAGTTTCGGGTATTATTTCCGCCCGCGTTCGCCGGCCGCCTAATGTAATTGCCGAAATTTGTTTTGTGCCCCAATTAAATTGCGAATCGAGCGCCGTTAAAGCGGCCAGTGGAATTTCATTAATTGTATTTAACGTTTTAGAGCGAACGTTTTTGTGTGTGTGCGAAATTGGTGTCCGTATTCAATCAATACAAAGCGGTTCGTGTGATCCAGATTTTATTCATTCTTTTTCCGTTGCAGCGCAGCTGTGGCAAAGCGGTAATCTTTGTTTTTGTTATTCTGTTTGGCTTTCGGCTTTGAGTGTGTGCGCTTTTTTGTTTGAAGCCCCACAATTTGATATACACAAATCGATTTACTTGCGCATGCAAATAACTTTATTTGCTTAGTGGGTAAGAAGGGGGGAGGAAGTTGGAGGGAGAGAGGGGGGTAGGGGCACACAAAGGACAGCTAGCAGGACAGAAAGAAAGAAAGAAAGAAGTGAAGTGAAGTAAGGAAGAAGGAGCAGAAACTGTTAACAAAAAGTCGACAGCCGGGCTTGGCTCAGCAGCCAAACAAATTTGCATAAATCGCAGTTGGTAGCACACAACACAGCCAACACACACGCCCGCATCCTGGCACCCACACATGTGCTTATTCACACCCACACAAGCACAACCCATTTCAGATAGATGTGTGTGTACGTGTGTGTATATATATCCTGATCCAAAGCGACACAGCCATCGACATCGCCATCGACACGAAGTGAAAGGCGCAAAGACTAAGTGCATGCTTAAGTGTTTTCTTTTCTATTTACGTGCCACGACGTTGGAGTGAGCAGCAGTGTCGTTTGTTTGCACTGTTGCGGCTTGTGTGCCACCCACCCAGCCATCCAGCCATCCAGCCACCCCATCCATCGAAGTATCCACCCAACCAACCAACCCACTTCCCCCGTGCATATGTAAATCAAGGTAAACAGAAATCTGTTACAGCATGATACCATTACAATGACATGCAACGGACCCCAGTCGACGACACACCCACAAAGCCCCAACTTAGCCGGGCCAAAACCACCACAGAGTAAACTAGATACTTATACACGTGTCTCATATTGACTGCGATATGTTATACAAATGAGATATTGATGCCCCACCATTACAACTTGGGCAGCAACAACAACGGGCCTCCGCTTGCCATTCAGTCAGCCATCCAGACAGCCATCCAGCCAGAGAGCGGCGTCCTCGAGTGACAGCAAACAACAGGAATAGGAACAGCACTGCTAGCACTGCCAGGACCAACAGGACTACGGGCAGGACCATCGGAAACATCAGCAACATCAGAGGCAGCAACAAATGCAGGAAAAGCCACCCTAATGGGAGTGGCGGGGCCCCAAGTCCTAGATCAAAGCACACGGTTCGCTTAACCCATTCAATTACGGCTCTAAATTAATTTTTAATGATCCAAGCACACTCTTTAAAGCTTTAACAAATCTATTCTATATATCATTAAAACACCATAAAACAAGAACTATATATTATAATCAGCTAATATTTTATGCCCATATAATTAAAATATTGTTAGACAATGAGGTGTTGATGATATCAATAGTATGACTTTGTTGATTTTTCCATATAGTACTTGTCAGTACACAAATTCAATAATAAAACAAGCAAGATTTAATACCCATAGAGTGGGTAAGTCCAACTATGGTAAGACAAAGCATTTCAAATCTTCACTATTTAAACTTACATAACTGCCAAGCTGCTCATCACTTTGTGCTTTCTGCTAGATGTTGGTAATGGGTTAACCCGATGGTTTCAGGGCCGTGCGGTAACTGGTTACCCCATCAAAAGGTACTCGCTTACGTAACCAGATGCGGCAGCCCCAGAGGAGAAAGCAACCCAAGAAAAGGGAAAATGGGAAAGGCTCTCCATGTGCGTGTCCAATCGCAAAGCAATCGAATCACGCCGAAAGAGAGTAGGAAAATGGAATGCGGTATCGGAGCTAAAAGGAAAGCAATCTCAAAACAGAATGCAAGAGTATAAAGTAATGCAAAAACAAGAAAAAAACGGGCTAATTAGAAATGGAAAAGCAAAAGATGCAAAGAGAGTGGCTCCCAAGATAACTATTTGACTGGGAAAACTCATCTGTAGACTTGAATTATAAAATCTATGCAAAAATAAATAAGCCTTGGGTAGAAAACACTATCAAAGAACTGTAATAACTGCAAACTTTTTCTATTACGGCCAACATTAAAAGCGATTGTGTCCTAAATACAAACTTTAATGTTGGTTCAGTCACCTAAAATGCAATTACGATCAGCGCGAAACCAATTTTCAGATCAATATCTTATAAACAACCTCAGCTGTGTGTGCACAGTGAACAAATTCGAACTCTCCTCCGCCCAAAAAAAAAAATCCAACGATTACGAATCGAGAATCGGGCGAAATGCAATAACTGAATACAAATTTGAAATGTGGCGGAAATTGAAATCGAAGGCGTTGAAGTGATTTCGTCTCGCAAAAATTCAATTGGAATGGCAACGGCAACGGCGGCGGTGGCGGTGGCGGCAACAATCGAGCACCACAGCAAATGTCTTGCACAACAACAAGAATCACTTGAGCGCCACCCCGAAAAAGCAGTAACCTCCTCGAAAGTCCTTATTGTGGCAGGGCTTCTGGTTACGCGGTTATTTCGGCTCCTTTCACATCCTTTCGCCCGGCACTCTGTTGCCTGCACAATTTTTCCGCTGCATGCAATTTTAATGCGATTTTGGATTTGATTTGTAACCGAAAAATAAGCCACACAAACTTTTCCCCTTTCGAAAGTGGAGCTGTGCGGTGGGTTTGAGTTTGGGTTTGGGTTCGGGTTGTGGTTGCATTGTCGTTGTCGCTGCTTCTGTTCCTTTTCCCCCTTGTTGTAGTTGTTGGCATTGTTGCTGTTATTGTTGCTGTTGTTGTAGCTCCTGTTGTTGCTCGGTTGTTAAGTGCAAATATAAATTCAACGGCAAAAAGGGAGCGGAATGCCTTGCACCCCAAAAACAGGGGGTCTGGGGTCAAATATTTATTTGTTGTCGAGCACAAATTTTATGCTGCATACTTTCATGCGCCGCTGCAGCACAATGTGGCACAAGTCACCAACACCAGCACCAGCAACGCAGCCCCAACCCCAGCCCCAACTTTCAGTGGAAGCGAGGCGCATAAAACCTTCCGCTGCCATTCAAGTGGAAAAGTTTAAGCCAACTTTTCCAGCCCGAAAAGCCCCCTTTTCCCGGTTTGTGCGCCGAACGCCAACAATTCAAGCGCGAAAATGCGCGCACTGAAAAATCATTCAGCGGAAGCCGCAGAAGGGGGTGCAAATTGGTGGCAGGGGTCCGCCGACTGTCACCACTCGAGGGTCTAAGGGGTCTAAAAATGCCAATTATGCCTATTCGAAGGGAAGTGCCTTCTTCAATGGCCACTGAACGGAAGTCAAGCCAGCAAGAAGAAGGCGAAAAACCCAACTAGCGCATTGCGTATGCGCCCTGTTGGCTGCCTTATTTATGCGGACCATCGCAGCAAACTTAATTAAAGTAACAACACGTAGGCCCGGGGTCAAAGTTCACGGGCTGCCAGCAATCGGCACTCGGCACTCGGAGCCACTGGCTAAACTTGAAGAGCGCAGCGAAATGACCGCAAAACAATTGTAAACTCAATTAAATCCAAGCACCGCTGCGGCAGTCGCTCTTGCAAGTCCGACTCTTAACTACAGGCCCAAGTTTGCAGCTCAAAAGCTACGGAATGCCTTTTAATTTTACCCTCCCTCTGGAGCACATAAAATATATAATCGTTTGGGGTAGGGGTGTGTTTTAAAAATCGTAGATCCCAAATCATATTTGTACGAACAGGAAAGTTATTTTAAAATGCTTAGAAAAGGTATAACCTTACCAAAAATCATTCGAATATCTTACAACATATACAAACAATAATCACTACAATCATTAAATGATTTAGTCACCCTTATTTTTGTTTAGTGTACAGACCCCTACCTAGAAGCTAGTCTCCCTGGGTGTGCTGATAACATACGACAGTTGTGACTTTAAAATCCCCTTTTCGCAATTTTTGCACAAAACTTGTGCAGGATTAATGGCCCGAACGGCCCAGGCATCCATGCAATTAAAATGCAACAACAAGGCGAGTGGCAGAAGGAGGAGCAAGAGGCAAGAGGCAAGCGGCAGGATCTCAGTGGCAGAAACAGCTGCAGGAGTGGGCGGAAATGGAGCAGAAAGATTGCTGTGACTTCGGAGCGTTTGAAAACTCGCATGTGTGACGGGCGAGGCCCGGAGATAGCCACGCCATTTTAAAGTGGCTGGCGAGGCAGCAAAACGGGCAGCGGCAAGTGGAAAGCGGCAAGTGGCAAGGGGGCTACGGCTACGGCAGCTGCGGCAGGGGAAGGCCACACTAGTTAGTTCCCCATGGGAGGATGCGGCACAGTATTGTCCGCATAAGCACACACATATACTCGTATATATGGCAGAGGCTCCCCTTTCCATTCGCCATCATTGTACGGTTTTTGCCCGCAACGGCCAAAGACAAATAATGCAATTTCCTGACTAACTCATTTGGGGTGGTTGCACATCCAGGACATACAGAACATACAGGACCCACAGAACTCTAGTTGCGTGTCACTGACACTCGACCCTCGCTGCGGACATTTATTACCTAGTTGGGAGGAGCAATCGCTGCGAGTGATCGGAGAGCCGGGACTTCCACTGGATGGATCACTCGGATGCCCACTGGATCTCTTCAGGACAGAATTGGATTCGAAATCGGGAATCGCCAGCAGCTAGCAGCCAGCAGCCAGTGCCACGTGACTCCCTTTGGGGCAGCTGATGCAATCATTGGCAACTTCTGGTTTCGTGTTGCGCTCCGCACACAGCAGCAAGATTAATGCGGTTCGGCATCGAACTTTAAACTCATTTTAGCCCGGCGAGAGCTGCCACCGAGGACCTGCAAGAAACCCGACAGAGACGGACGAACATGTGTTTTGCGAGACCAGGAGCATGTCCTGCAGTTGGTCCTTGCTCCTTTCGCTGGCCCTGTAATTTGTCCCCCGTCCGTCGTCGTTCCGTTTGTCTGTTTGTTTGTTTTGCGCAAAAGTTTGCGGCGACAATTGTTTTGCGGTGTTGCAACGGACGCAAACTCACTGCCACATTGGCAATCTCACACACGCATCCACTCGGATTGCGATTGGAATTTTCTTGACAATGTTTTCCCACTGCCCTGTAATTTCGGGTTTTCCCCTTAACGTCTGAAGGGAAGTCAAGATTTATGGCCAATCGATTTTCGTAGCCCCCGGAAATGTCGCACCCGTTTTAATGTTGCTTTCAATATGTGTCGCCGCTTATCATATCTGAACCACTCGACCGCCGCTCATATATCAATTATTTTTCAATCAATTTTAAGTTAATAGCATTTCAATGCGAACACCTTTAATCGCGATAAGTGCGAGCTGAAAGAACTATAATTAAATCGCCGGACAATGGATCATTCGCCATCCACGCAGTCGCGCAACTGGCGCCACTGGGTCCACTCGAAGCAGCCGAGGTATCCGTCCTGGTCAACGAACGCCTTTCCATCGGGACAGGACAGCTGCAGGGGTCCGTCGTTGGTGCACAGGTAGAAGCTGGCCACGTCGGAGGCGGCATGGGGCTGCAGCTTGCTGTTTCCGGTGCAGTCGGGCACCGTGGCGTCCAGGTTCACGCAGGAGGGCTTCATCATGCTGGAGGGCAGGCAGCCGCAGATGGTGGCGTTGTTCACGAAGTAGGTGCCAGGGTCGCACTCGTCGGCGATCACCTCGTTGTCCAGGCAGAAGTAGAACTTGCGGAGGTCCTCGCTGCCCCACAACTCGTCCTGCGATTGGCACACCGTGGTGACATTGCTTGCATATCCTGAGGATGCGGCGTTGCAAAGGGCCAACAGACCAAAGAAAATCACGAGGGCTAAAATGAGAATCAAGATAACGATAATTTATTGATTAGTTTTTAAAGGAAATTATTTTTTAATTACTTTTTTCCTGTTTTCAAAAAGTAAATGAATAAAAATATTCATTTAACAGGAGTAATTTTTTTAATGATCCATTTTTATATCTTTTTTAATATAATATAATTGATAAAACTATATATACAAAAAGCTTTTTCATATATTTCATTTCATTTTGCACGCTTTTGTATTTGGAAAACATTTTTTTTTTTATTATTTGTTATCCTTTTTTCTCCACTTTATCCACTTGCTATCCGAACGCACAGTCCTTGAGATTATTTATCAACTTGTTTACCTTTCAGCATGGTGTATCCTCTAGTAGCTTCTTTTTGGTTCAAAAATTAAAGGCAGACTAAACGATGGGCAGGCCAGTGTCAGGGCTTTTATAACATACTATCCGATCAAGCCCCATTATCGGCTGGCATATCATCGGCATTGCCAATGACTTGTTGACACCTCGGATGATGAACGCAGTTCGAGGCCTGTTTTGGCTTCTGGTCTTGGCGCTTATCGGGTGTTTTTATGCAGATAATGGCGAATTCTTGGCTTAATTTGCTGCTCTGCCTGGCGCAGATATCACGTCTCAAGTGGCCGAGTGATGAGCGCTTCCAGGAACCGGAGTGAAGCTACAATTTCGGGGTGCCGAGTGCTCGGTTCTCAGTGTCACCTGCTGCTCACGTCGGCGAAACTTTTAATTGAATTCCCTGCCAGAAGCCAACATCGATAGCAAGCCTATTGGAATTTATGTCGATTATATTGTCAACTTTTCCGCCGCTCCACGAAGTTTGCCTATTTAAACTTGGGACTCGCGTAAATAGAGTGCAAAAAAAGTGGAGAGAGCGAGGAAGTTGAATTGACAACGTGACTTAACAACAAAGCCGGCGCAACTTTTTCCTTTTTACAGGTTATGGCCCCGTGTGTCCTGGCCGCAAAGTGACTTCCTTCCCGGCGGCAGCTGAGCTCCATTTGGGCGCTCTAAGCCAAATCAATTAGAAGTTTTGACAGCAGCTGGGTCTGCAACTGAACACCGAACACTGAACCCTGAATTGCCAGTGTTCTGGCACTCTACACTATCGAAGCAGTGGGGCGTAATTAAATTTTCAACTGATTTCTGCAGCAATAATTTCCAATTTGGCTTCATTTGAAAGGCAATTAATGTCGGTGCTATCGCCTAGATAAGGCATGTGTGTACTTTTCGGTAGTCCAAATTTACTGGCTGTGATTTTGCTGTTGATGTTAGTGTGAATCATTCGGCCGTGTTTGCAAAGGAAATTCTGACAATCGAACGAGCAGGAAATTTTCGCCTAGCTTCAGATATAAATCTTCTCTCGTGCTTTTAATTTCGGGACTTATCATCCGAGAGCTGGAAACTTTAAACCGCTCCGGCTTATCTAATCGAAGAGTCGATGTCGGAGAGCGAAGAACAACGACGCGACTACGTCACTTTAGTCAAAAATAAAAATGCCCGAAAAACCGATGAAAAATGACTGTAAAAATAGCAGCGATAAGGCTGCAGAAAACATGGAAAGTCATGCAGTGGGCATGAGTATAAAAACGAAACACCACGGCGACGAAATCAATCAGTCGAGTCGAGTTTTTCAGCGGGGCGGACATATAAATTTATTAACGAACCCCGGCTTATAGCCGAATGATGAGAGGCGTGCAGTTATAACATTTGCAGAATTCACCAGCGAGTTGAAAAAATAGTAAAGTCCGACAATCGAACGAACTTTGTGTGTGTCATAATACTCGTGCTTGCTTCGCTGCCGCCGGTTCGTGATGAAATTATTTATGAAAAATAAATGGAGTTGCTACTCCCCCGTTCTGATGCTGCTGGTCGTGATGCTGCTGCAGGGGAAGCCGGGATCGGCGGACACGACCACGAATGCAACATGCAGACACGCCACGGACATGTGGGGAGATCCGGACCCCAACATATTCCACGTGTGCTCCGACGCTGGACAGCCGCTGCAGCTCCGTTGTCCGCCGGGCCGGGGATTTTTCAGCGGTCTCGGTTACCTCGGCTGCGTTCCCTTCGCCCAGTGGCCCGCCTGCCGGCCCTCCGAGGAGCAGGTGGCCGCCCAGCTGTCGGCTGGCTGTGACAGCGACGGCAGTGCACCCCCCTCGCCCTGGGCCTCCGCGGACCCCAATCAATTCTACCTCTGCCCCGGGACAAATGCCACACCTCTGCTGCTCACCTGCGCCGAGGGCAAGGGATTCGTGGCCAACTCCGAGGTGGTCGGCTGTGCGGACTGGCCCAAGTGGCGCCACCATCTGCAGTGCGAGGCATTCTACTGATCCATGTTATGTCTACCATGCTATATCAATAATCACCATCGACTCGAATCAAATTTAATTTATTGGGTAACCGCACTGCGCCATTCCACTCACTAGTTCTATCTGTAAATAAAGTAAAAAGTTTCTACTTATTTCCGATGTGGCTGTTTTCTGTCTGATAGACTTGTTCAAAACACCGATAGGGGAAGCAACAGCTTGATAGCAATATCAATTCGGAAACCAAAAAAACACCTTTAATTGGAGGTATTAATAATGGCAAAACACTCTTGCTTAAATCAAATGTATTTAAAGTTTACAGCTCGAATTTATCTCAGGGTATTATTCAATTAAATTTAAGGTTGAACAATATAACTGTGCAAAACATGTTGCTTACAGTTTTCATGTAAGCTTTAGAAAACAAAGAGCTGTGAGTATAATTGTATGAAATGTAAGAGCGGAAAACAATGTAGTGCAATGTAGATAGCTTGTTTTCTTCGGAAAACATACACACTCAATTCTTGTATCTCCGACATCTGTGAAGTATATAAAGGAATGAGATAATGCTTTTCAATTGCCACCGCATTGTTTTGTGCAATTTAGAAGACCTCAAATCCCTGTTCATTGCTTTATTCCACTTATGGGATTAGTAAATTGCAAATAATACCTCATCTGTTCGCTGCAATTATTGCTCATTTGAGCATATTAAATGATGAGCTCCAAAGTGCGGCACATGGGGCAAATCCTTTTAGTTCCCCCACTGCCGCAAAGCCACGCATCATCCTTTGCCATTTCCCTGCTTTATGTTGCCTTTTTATCTGCTTTCTATCTGGTGGAGAGCAGGGAAAAGTGGAAAAGTGGAGATCTGGAGGTCAGCAGCCCCGCCTTTGATGTGCTCTTTTTACTTTGTCATCCCCTTATGTGGGGTTATTTTTTACGAAGCAGCTGCTCCATCGGCTCTAACCGGCTCTCAACCTCGTTTACAGGCTTAAGCCCTTGTCCTTGCCGCCATAAAGCATCGCCCAGGTACACGGCATAAGAATAATGACACATGCACCTGGGCGCCGCATAAAAAAAGCGGGGCGGAGGGGGAAATCCAGACGCTCCATCGGAAATTGCATTTTGCTTTGAGCGCGTCCAGATGCAGGAAATTACTGTCAACTCTTAACGCCCGTGATAGGATCACGATCCCCTCCTCCTGTCCGGGCTTTAATAAATCTTTCATTTGCATGTTTCTTTTCGATTTTTGTGCGTCATTTTCGTGTGTTCGTGTTCCCCCTCTCTCCTTTGAGCCTGGCCATTTATCAGTGCCCGAAGGCGGTGGCAGACAACATCACGTATACGTAATTTTAATTACCATTGATATAAAAGTGTTTAGCCTGCGCCGGAGTGTGCGGTTGGGTAGACTTCAATTTAATTAAATGTTTACTTGCCGCTCTCAGCAGAAATCAATGAAAGCGACTTCTAATTTATTGCGTTCGGGGGACCAAAAGGACCCGCAGGAGTCGCCAGGAATCGCAACCTGCTGACGCAGACAGGGGGAAAGTAATTAACCTATTGGCATCTCGCAAGCAGCTGATAATATCCTGGGGACAAACTCCGCCTATGGCTACAACTGCAGTCGTTAAAGAAGCCGCTCCATAAGCAAGCAATAAATATAGTTTAAGGCAGCCCACTCAGCTGGGAAATCAATAGAGAATGCCAGCATCATCCAAGTGGCTAATAGAGAGGCACTCCATTTCTCGGGGGACCCATGGCGCCCCGAACTCCGAGCTCCATGTGGCATCATTGCTGAGGGACTCTCCATTTCGTTGATTGCCCCACCGCAGGCGCAATAATATTGATCGCCTGCAAATGTTGTCCGGCTGCCCTTCAATTTATGTTCTCCCATTGCTGCAAATTTAACCGAGCACACACACTCACACTCGCATTCGCACTCGCAGGTTAATGTGGCGATGCAAATCCCAAATATGGGCAAAAATGCAATTGCAAGTGCTGCCACGCTGCTGGCCATGTCCTCTGAATGTGGCACCAAGGCCAGCGCCGGTTAAAGCCTGCCTAGAATGCACACAAAGAGCTCCGTTGCAGTTGCCACTGATATAGGGGATTTCACCCAGGAGCGGATTGCAGGGTCATCTAAGGGAAAGTAAATTATAAAGTTGATTTAATCAGTGCAGGATCTAAGAAAAATATAGAAATGTAAGCCATACATTTGCTCACTAGATCTACCAATAGTTTATTTTAATTTAAAGCAGTGAAAAATGTTTGTTTAGCTCTTACATTTAGTTTCGTGTTTGTTTTGTGCACATAGGCTTACCTAAAAAACATATGTTAATTGAATGAGATTTAACATAAATCCTTCTCATATTTTTACTGGCATTAATCATAAAAATATATGTTTATTTTTTCCGAGTTCCAAGCCAGTTGCTTATTTACATTGGATATAAATGTATTTATTTTGCAACTAGAAACAAGTTAGTGACCTAATTTCATGTCAAGGCTCATCGGAGGCAATTAGAATATTAACAATTTCATTTCTCCAGGTGAAGCAGAGTATGAAATGGCTCTATTCCCTCGCAGGCTTCCACCGCTCCTGAGAACAGGCTGTGGCTTCAATCCATTTACAGGTGTTTGCCCAGAGTCAATGCATACGCAGCCAGCCGTAAAACATTTGTCACATTTGCATTAAAAGCGGTAGCAATCCGGGGACCAGCTTTATGTGTGTGTTTGCCCACCAGTGGGGCAACCTGGGCCACACACACACAAGCCACCACCCACCCGCACACACACATATACCCGCTCACCCACTCCGTGCTATGCAATTTATTTGCACAGTGCACTTGCCAATTAATTCTTATCTCAGCAGCAGCCATGCAGGTTGCTTTCCCGGCGACTGCATAAATCAATGTGCCCGAAATGATAACTCATGCGAGTGCAAGGCGAAGGGCTGCCTGCCCGCACTATACGATATATATACTACCATATTCCGGCACACAAATCGTGCTCTAGATCGGCTCTCCCTTTCGATTGGATTGGAAGGCCCAAAATGAGACGTTACTTGCGATGAGGTGGAGGAGGAGGAAGGGAAGGGAATGCATTGTGTGTCTAGGAACTGCAGCTCACTCAATTTCATGCTGTCAAATGTGCTGGCAAGACTCGCATTCTCCCAGGCTGCAGGCACCCAAAACCCAAACCCAAACCCAACACATGCCCACACCCACACCCAAACCCATTCGCTTTGTCCTGATTCCCCATCCTGCCGCCCAGCGGCGTCTAATTGAATTGCTCTGCGATAATGGGCGATTCAGCTTTGGTGGCACGGCGGCACCTCCTAATTGAAAAGTGTTGTTCGCACTAGCAGCAAATTTACGATAAAAGTGCCATCCGTCTTGTGACTCGATTTAGATTGAGATTTAAGGTGAGCCGGAGATAAATGCCTGGTAAATTGAAAGAATCCAGGGGATTATTAACCGGGGAGTCTGTCAAGCGGCAAACTGAATTCGTTTAGTATTCCATTTGGGGTCAGCTGTGCATATGAAATCCAAGCCTTGTATGCCATTATTCAAGCATGCTAATTTGATACAAAAGCCAGGAGGAGACTTTTCCTGCTCGGCCATTTAAATGGAAATCTCTTGGCCAAAAACTTGACGTTGTGTGTTGTGTGCCACAGATAACTGACTGCCCCCGCATAAATTCATATAAATTAAAGCGATCCAATTATAATTGTTGCCAGTTCTGCCCAGGCTGCTGTTGCCACTGCTCCCCAGTCTCCTTGGCTGGCTGTCAGCAAATCTGGGGACAAGGACAGGCCGCTTCCTGTTTTCCAATGCCGTCGCCACCATCGCCGCCTCAGGTGAGGAACTCCTGGGGCCGCTGGGAACAGCTCGCGCGCCCCGGTAATTAATTATGCCGGCTGCAATGACGGCGCTGAAAATATCCGGCCGAGGCTTACCTGTTCAGGCCAAGGCGCAGAACAATAAAAAAAAAAAAATATACTGGAATAAAAATGGAGCCGGGCCAGGGTCGTGGGACTAGCGGAAACGGAAATAAGCACAAACAGTTGGCGACGGCAAACGGCGAACGGCAGGCGAAACAAACAAGTCGCTACGCGCCCGCCGAAATGATTTATTAGAAGCGACATTTCAATTTTTCATCGCCAAGTTCGCTCGGTTCCGCCTTACGGAATAAGAAGGCGCGTAGAAATAAATATAAATTTGCCTGTTGACAAAAATGTAGCAATTTCACATGCAACTAAATGCGTATTTCCGGCCGGAAAGGCACGACGACGTTTGTGCGTGGAAAATGGGGAAAGGCGAGTGGAAAAAGGCGAATGGTGGATGTTGAACGGTTGATGTTGGATGTAGGGACGGCACTTCCGGCCTGTCGCCATTTTGCTGTTTGATTGAGCTGGAGTCCTTGTCCCGACTAAGATTCCCCTTTGAAGGTGCTCAAGCAGCGCACAAAGTGTCCTGCCAAGAGTGCTCGAAAAAGAGAGAGACACGCAAAAAGGACAACGAGGCGCCCACACACACACACAGACACAAACACACAGATAGAAAGACACACACGCAAGCCGCAAGGAAACAATAAATTTGCAGCAATGCGAAACGGAAATGTTTGCAACGGAAATAGAGGAAACGCAGCACTGCAACCATCGCAGTGGTGCTGTTGGTGGTGGTGGTGGCAGTGGCAAAAGTCGCAGTTGTCCTTTGCAATTGTCGCACGGCGAACGGCAAACAAACAAAGTAATTGGTCCACACAAATTGCCCGCCGAAAGAAAAGTGGCAGAACGAAGATGGCGGAGGGAAAACAAGAGGATTGCCACTTGAAAGGAGAGAGCGAGTAATGGCTAGTAAATTTTGTTATGACCTCCATTCCCGCCTCTCTTTTTTCTTTTTCCTTTCTTCCACCGCCAACCTCCCCCCATCACTCCCCATCACTCCCCACCACTCACCGGCACATAAATTATGCATATTTAGCAGAGTGAAATTGAAAACTAATTAATTACACTTGCAGCCCGGAGCAGCAGCTAAGTGAGGTGGACCCCGTTGCCGGAGAAAAATGTTGTTCAACTTTTTAATTGCCAGCATCAAGTGTTTTTC